TACCCCATCCCCCACATACACGGCATCACGGCATCGCTCAAGGGCACGACTATCTTTTCTAAGATCGATCTGGTACGAGCTTATCATCAGATCCCAGTCGCTCTTGAAGATATCGAAAAGACCGCTATCACGACTCCTTTCGGTTTGTTTGAGTTCCTACGAATGCCATTTGGATTACGGAATGCTGCTCAAACTTTTCAAAGGTTTATCGATAGCATTGTACGAGACCTCGATTTTGTTCACGTCTATATTGATGACCTGCTAATCGCATCATCAAACGTAGATGAACATTATCAACATCTTACGCTATTATTCCAACGCCTTTCGGATAATGGAATAGTAGTTAACCCAGACAAATGCGAGTTAGGTAAACGAGAAATAATATTTCTGGGTCATGTTATCAAGCAAGAGGGTATTTTACCTTGTGAGGACAAAGTGCAAGCAATAAAGGAGTACAACGTGCCGTCCTCACTCAAGGAACTGAAGGCTTTTCTCGGTTTGGTTAACTTCTACCGTCGTTTCATCCCACACGCGGCAGAACGGTTACGACCACTAACCGACTTACTACGCGGCAACCCACGCAGATTGGAAATGAACGATTCTGCACGTACTGCATTCACTGAAATCAAAACGGCTCTTGCGCAAGCCACTCTTCTCGCCCATCCCGATCCATCAGCCACGCTTAGTATAGCGGTTGATGCATCCGATGTTGCTATAGGAGCAGTCATGCAACAAAACATCTCCGGTAGTTGGCAACCTCTCGAGTTTTTCTCACGACGCCTCACTACCACGGAGACGAGATATAGCGCTTTTGGTCGCGAGCTGCTAGCAGCCTACTGCGCCATCAAACATTTTCGGCACGCAGTAGAAGGACGTCGATTCATTTTATTCACCGACCATAAGCCCTTAACGTATGCTTTGCATACCAAGTCTGACCGCTACTCACCACGAGAGTGCAGACATTTGGACTATATCTCCCAGTTCACGACAGACCTTCGTCACATCCAAGGCAAGTCGAACTGTGTTGCCGATGCTCTATCACGAATCCAAATGAATGCAGTTACCCTGCCGGTGCTCGATCTTCCTGCTATGGCCGCTGCCCAAGCAAACGATCCCAGCTGTACAGAAGCACCACACTCTACGTCCCTTCAGTATCAGGAAGTACCTCTGGCCACGACTTCTGGCACCATTCTATGTGATACTTCTACCGGTCTTCCTCGACCCATCGTACCCTCTGCTTATCGCCGTCTCGTATTCGATGCCCTGCATGGATTATCTCACCCAGGTATCGCAGCTACATTACGCCTCATCGCTGCACGATACGTCTGGCCGTCCATGAATAAAGATGTTCGTATGTGGGCTAAGCAATGCTTACAATGTCAACGATCAAAAGTGCACAGGCACGTAGCCGCCCCCCTCGGTACATTCGCTACGCCTGATGCTCGCTTCGATCACGTTCACTTAGACATTGTAGGACCACTGCCACCATCGCACGGGTATGATCACATACTCACGTGCATCGACCGCTTCACCAGATGGCCCGAAGCTATACCCATCACGTCTATCACGGCGGAGACAGTTGCTCACCGCTTCGTAGAACGATGGATAGCTCTATATGGTTGTCCCTCGACTGTCACGACTGACCGAGGACAACAATTTGAGTCCGCACTATTCTCCTCACTTACTCGGCTGCTTGGTACGGAACGAATACGCACTACCGCCTACCATCCAGCTTCAAACGGTTTAGTTGAAAGGTTTCACCGGCAACTTAAAAGTGCTCTTCGAGCACACGAAAACGACGACTGGTACGAAACCTTACCGCTCGTTCTTTTAGGTATCAGAACGAGTTTAAAGGCAGATATCCAATGTTCCGCCGCTGAACTTGTATACGGCACGACATTGCGTCTGCCCGGGGAATTCTTCACACCACGGAGCAGACCTAATTTCGCTAAATCAGACTACGTCCAACGACTGTCTGCATTTATGCGAACGCTGCCTCCGGTGTCAACTCGAATACAACATCGACAGGTCGCTCTCCCTCGAGAGTTATCTACCTGTTCACATGTTTTTGTACGAGTAGATTCGGTACGCAAACCTTTGCAACAACCTTACGAAGGCCCTTTTCGCGTGATCGCTCGTCACGAAAAGACCTTCAAGGTTGATCGACACGGCCGCGTCGAGATCGTCAGCATTGATCGTCTCAAACCAGCACACGTCGATGACAGTGCCCTATCTGACAACCTGAGATTCAATGCTAGACCTAGCAAACCTACTAGCGGGATCCTCAAATCATCTTCAGGTCCCACGCTAGATACATCTGAGACCTCATTCTCACGTCCCAGTCAACAGCACGCGTCATCTGCACCGTCTACGGACGAGACGACAGTCTCACGTCCAGATCAGCAGACCACGCCGCCCTTGACTTCGGATGAGATTGCAGGCTCACGCGACGCGAACGAGACTGCCGTCTCACGTTCCGGTCGCCGAGTACGGTTACCCGTACGCTTCCGCGAATAGTCGCACAGTCAACAACCGATACGGTGTAGGATTATTCCTATACTACACGTATGCTACACTCTTCTTTTTTTGATTTTCTTTTTGTTTCCTGAGCCCACGCCTTCGACCATCTCCGTTTGGTTCCGTCGACTTCAGTCAACTTTGGCGAAAGCTGGATTGGCCACCCACGCTCTTGTCAACGTACTCAGTCGATATATTGGTTTCGAATGCTTGGCATACGCTTGGTCTCGAACTTGGTCGTTATGGTCGCTTCTGGTCTTTTGGCTCAACGTGGTTTCGTCCTTCGTCTGCAGCGTTTATGGTCCGGACCCGTACGAACGCCCTCTTCAGATTCTGGATACAAACCACTCTGGTGTAGCATGCCGACTCGAGCAATAAATACAACACATCGCTCCTGGTACTGTTCTCCGAAAACGACTTTCGTTGGCAACTCGACGATCAACGATTGCTTTCCTGTTCGCCAATTCTTCCGTCCTACAATCGCTCGTCAGCCGATCAGTCCCACGATTCAAACCGCTATTTATCGAAAGTGTAAACCCTTTCTAGCGGGCGGCTCCTGTAGTGACTCACGTTTATCACGAGAACACGACTGGTTTAATAAAAACAATTATTATTATAACCAACTGTACCAGTGTTTGTTTTAATGTGCTTTTGTTTAACTGTGCTAATTATAGCCATTTTGTGCTTCCATTACCTTCCATTATTGTTCCGCGGTTTTTGGTACTGTTCGCACGTACTCCTGTCTTCTGCTTTCACTTGTACCTCTTCTTGGCACGATCTCGGTATTCGTTCAATACCACGAGATCGCCAACGAAATAAATCTGGTTACGTTCAACCCTCGCCTTCTGATTTATCTGGCACGTGTTTCCTGGTAGCGGTGTTCACAGTTAATCTCAACTCGACGCCACGCTACACTTTATTAGAATATCTTAGTAAAGTGTTTTCCACTAGTGATGGCGGGAGGCCAACAATTATTCACGACTTCTTCCAAACCTCAAACTCGATAAGCCCAGTAGTTCTGACGATGTTGATCCTAGGGTTATCAAAGCTCTATATGATGTGATTATTGAACTCCTGACCATAGTGTATGATAAATACCCTTGAGGCAGTCTAGTCTGTCATGAGACTGAAAAAACGCAATAGTCAGTCATACTTGTAAGGCGTGCAGCAGAGACTTGGTAACCATCGAATTGTTGATATGACCAGTCTAGCTGTCAGAACTAATGGGAAAAATTATTCAGATGGATATTTCAATATATGTGGAAGGGCATAATCTTTCATCCAGGGAACGACATGCATATAGTAAAGGCCTGTCATGCCTGACAAATCTGTAGGAAATTACTGGATAGATGTAGTTTTCATTTGAAGACGCATACCCAGTATGTCAGAATAATATTGCTGCATGACCTAGGTTCACTGGTTGCATGGATGGGCTGGTGGTAACTAGAATTTAACTCTAACAAGAGTGTGTTTTCGTAACTAAATAACTGCGACGATTCACATCAAAACACAATATGTGAAGTTGTTACCCAAATGAGCAGACTATGACAATCTGGCAGTCATAATAAGGAACGGACTCTGAACTATGGGTAACTGCAAGGCTGCCACTACCAAAGGCCCCAGGGTCTTACGGGCTATTCGTAAGTCATTTCAGTTGTCGGATGAGGATGTGGTTAGGTTACTGAACTCGACTTTCGTAAGTCACTATTTGGAATTCGAGCAGCAGGTCTTTGTTTCAAGTGTGAGTCGGATATGCTAGAACGAGTTCGATGGCAAAAGATCGAAATGGTAAAAGGTTTCTCTAGCATATCTTATGAAGACAGACTGCGACTCATCAAACTATTTCCGTTATTTTACTGGATTGTCGAATATTGACTTATCGTGCACGGAACAAAGACCCCGATGTAAACATGTCATATTTTACTCTTTTACGTAGGACTGATTATTTGAGAGGATATTCCAATAAAGTTCAAAAACCGAGATAAACTCTTTTGTCTGGAGTTCAGTTTCTAACAACGAGTAGTGACCTACTGGAATTCTCTACCAAGACACGTAATATCAGCACCTATGATACATTCAGAGCGAGGTTGGACAAACTGCAAGGTTTAATACGGGTCGATAGACCTCTTTTCCTTACAAGTGAATACTGAGTACTTTATCCTTTACAAACTGACGTTCAAATAGTTGCATTTTTGGCATCCATTTGAGTCATAAGCATGTAGACAAGAAGATACTACTTACAGTGGAGTATTTTTAGCTTAGCATTGGTTAATAAGAACACAATTTTGTCCACTTATAACGCATTGTGTCCGTTAACTTCTTTGGAGGGAAAATTATTCTCAAGGTCGCCAGTTGCGAACTCGATATACGATACCAACATTGTTTCACAACATTACTCTGTTTGTTTAGGTGTCGATTCACGCAAAACTGGACTGCTTATGTGGCACGTAATTTGTTCCTGATATGCTGTATACTGAAAAATAATGTCGTCAACTCAGGTAAATAAAATTAGTCACTTGTTTCTTGAACAAAATTGAAGTGTTACTTCTGGATCGATATTTAAACTATGAACAATTTCATATGATGATAACACAAATCACTTATAAGTAAAACAACTTACTTCCAGCAACCTATAGTTTAAGTGAAATAAATTGTTTCCTTGAGGGAAGTATATACACAGATACTTGGTTGCTAAAGTTATTAGTAGTTGGGTTATGTTAGAAATTAACTCCTGAAATAAATTCTCTGTCGCATCTTAGTTCAATTACCATAAAGAATTGACATATTGTTTGCAAATTAATAACAAGGCGCTAAAATAAGGTTGCTTACTTACGCCTGTTACAACTCGTGAAGGACAATAGGCCGCTCACCAGTATTCTCCATTCAACCCTGTCCTGGGCAATCCTGTTCAGATCCTTCCAGTTGTTATTCACCCTTTTCATGTCTGCTTCTATTCCTCGACATAATGTGTTCTGTGGCTTTCCTATTTTCCGCTTCCCTTCAGGATAACAAGTTAGCTCTTGCCTCGTGATGGAGTTTGATGTATGTCCTATCCATTTCCATCGTCTTCTCCTAATTTCTTCGTCAGCTGGAAACTGGTTTGTCCTCTCCCACAGAAGGCTGTTGCTGATGGTATCTGGTCAATGGATGTTGAGTATCTTGCGTAGACAACCATTTATAAATACTTGTACCTTCTTGATGGTGGTTGTTGTAGTTCTCCAAGTTTCAGCTCCGTACAGTAGAACTGCCTTGACGTTCTTATTGAAGATTCTCACTTTGATATTGGTTGAAAGTTGTTTTGAGTTCCATATGTTCTTCAATTGTAGGAATGCGACCAATTCTTTGTCAATCCTCGCCTTTACATCTGCATCTGAACCTTCTTGTTAATCGATTATGCTTCCCAGATATGTGAGGGATTCTACATCTCCCAGAGTTTCGTCATCAAGTATGATTGGATTGTTGTTTTCCGTGTTGTATTTGAAGACCCTGGTTTTCCCCTTGTGTATGTTTAGGCCTACTGATGCAGAGACTGCTGCTACATTGGCTGTGTTTATCTGCATTTGTTCATGTGTATGCGATAGGAGGGCTGGGTCACCTGCAAAGTCCAAATCGTATAATTGGTTCTGAGCTCTCCATTGTATGCCGCGTTTTCCCTCAGATGTCGAGGTCCTCATAATTCAGTCGACCACCAGAAGAAAGAGGAAGGGAGAGAGTAGACAGCCTTGTCCGACTCCGGTTCTTACTTGAAATACATATGTCAGCTGTCCTCCATGCAGGACGTTGCACTGTAGTCCGTCATATGACTTCCGGATAATGTTCACAATTTTCTCAGGAACTCCGTGTTGTCGAAGAAGTTTCGATAATGTTCTATCTACACTGCCAAACGCCTTTTCATAATCAATGGCGTTGATGTATAGTGACGAGTTCCACTCAACCGATTGTTCGGCGATTATCCGTAGTGTCGCATTTTCGTCTGTGCACAACAAATCCTTACGGAATCCAACCTGTTGGTCTCGAAGTTGGGCGTCTACTGCGTCTTTCATCTGGTTCAGCAATACTCTGTTAAAGAATTTCCCTGATACTGACATTAGTGTAATGCCTCTGTAGTTTTCGCATTTGCTCAGATCTTTCTTTGGATTATTGATGAGGTGTCCTTCTTTCCAGTCCATCGGCAGTTGTTCCTCCTCCCAAATCTTTTTGAATAGGTGAAGCATGTCTATGGTTACTTCGATGTCTGACTTCAGTGCTTCAGCTGGTATTTTGTCGGGTCCTGCTGCTTTCCCGTTCTTGATTTGTCTGATGGCAATTGTGATTTCTTCCATCGTTGGTGATTGACATCTGTAGGAAGATCTGTGTGTGCTACTTCGATGTCCGGTGGATTCATTGAAACCGGCCTATTCAAGAGTTCCTCGAAGTACTCTACCCATCTGTTCCGCTGTTGTTGAATTTCAGTGATTGGCCTGCCTTCTTTGTCTTTGATTAGTCTCTCTGGTTTACTATATTTCCCTGATAGTTTCTTCGTTGTATCGTAAAGTTATTTCATATTTCCTTCTCTTGCAGCTTTTTCCGCCATCGTTGCTAGTTCTTCCACGTAGTTCTTGTCGGCTCTAATGCGCTTCTTCACTTGCTTGCTTGCTTCTATGTACTCAGCCTGTGCTTAGGCTTTCTGTGCTCGTGTTCGGCTGTTGTTAATTGCTATCTTCTTGTTCTTCCGTTCTTTGATCTTGTTCAGTGTTTCTATAGAGATCCACTCCTTATGATGATGCTTCTTGAGGCCCAGAACCTCTTGATATATTGAAGTTAATGCTTCTTTGATACCTTCCCATTTGTCCTCCATAGTAGTTCCTTCTTCCTTCAGTAGATGTTGTAAGGCTTGGAACCTGTTGTTGAGAGCTATCTTGAATTCGTTAATTTTATTTGTATCTCGAAGGAAGACTGTATTGAACCTTTGTAGTGCTGTTTATCCAATTGTCCAGTTCTTCTTTAGCTTCAGTTTTAAATTGGCCACAACTAGGTGGTGATCTGAAGCTGTGTCAGCTCCTCGCTTGGTTCTCACATCTTCCATTGCCCTTCGGACTTTTTTCTTGATGCAAATATGATCTACCTGGTTCTCTGTGGTGTGGTCCGTTGAGATCCATGTAGCTTTGTGTATACGTTTGTGTGGAAATATTATGCATCCTATGACCAATTTGTTGAATGCACGTAGATTTGCAAATATTTCCCCATTTTTGTTTCTCTCACCCAGTCAGTCCATGTCATCCCATGATATCTTCATATCCGGTGTTGTCCATTCCAACTTTGGCGTTTAGGTCTCCCATCAGAATGGTGAGGTCCTTTCATGGGCACTTCCCCATGGTTGATTGCAACCTATCGTAGAATTGATCTTTAATGTCGTCATTGCTATCATTGGTGGGTGCATAACACTGGATAATATTCATTGTGATCCCCTCCTTTGTTTTGAGTGATGCTTTGATGATTCTGGATCCGTGAGATTCCCATCCTACAAGTGCATTTCGTGCTACTTTGGACAGCATTAGAGCAACTCCCTGAGTGCGTGGAGCATTTCCCTCTTCGTGACCGGAGTACAGCAGCACCTCTTCCGTATTTAGCCTTTGTTGTCCAGCTTGAGTCCAGTGGGTTTCGCTGATTCTCAGTACTGCCAAGTTGTATCTCTTCATTTTCATTGCTATCTGACTGGTCTTCCGGGTCCCTCACATTGTCTGGACGTTCCATGCACCTATAAAAATTGTTGCTCTGGTTGTTAGAAGGGACATTGGCCTCATGGATTCCGAAGGAACTGGGCTTTCACCATGAGGCGTCATAGTTCTTCTAAATGAATACCTTTTAACTTCCAAGGCATAGTTCAAATGGTTCGAATTATTTTTCCTGGTTAGCGTTTTTTCATCGAGTTAGTTTTCTACTGGATGGGTTCGCTAACCCCATGCCCAACCCTCCTTTACCCAGGATTGGGACCGGCAGTAACTCTAGAAGAGCTACAGGAGGAGTTAAAATAAGATTAGCAAATGTAAATAATATATAGTTTGCTAGACCTGGTTCGTTCCTATGCATTTTTACCTAAACCACATCGCTTAGCCTGTGGTATTTTAAAAACTTTATATGTAGTAGAAAGTGTTTGCTGATTAAATGTGCTTGAGTCCATTCCCATAAATTTATTCGACTAGCACGGAAGGCGAACTCACCTCATTTTGCAAACCTTGTGGCTATATACAATTAACCCTAATTTAACAGTCTGGTTTATTGATTCATCAAGGCGTAGGATAGTGTGGTTTATTTCCCACTACTTTCTATTATTTAAAATCCAAGTAATATATATGTATTTGAATAAAATACGTATTTATCTGTCATTTAACACCCCTCATCCATTTTACTGGATGCGTAACAAAACTGTTTAGTTATTCAAATTTCTCGTTACATAATATTTAAGATTTAGTTATCACTGTTACATTTAATGATAACATATAACAGTAACCGTCCTAAACCGCCAAATATTCGAAAATAATAATTTAAAAGTCACGAGTCTAAATTAGTCGCTGGTTTGCAATGAAAATCCGCCTACAAGGATTTAAATTTGTTCTCTTTTTCGTGGCAATCAGTGAATCTACTTCTGACCTATTTAATTCACTACTGAAATTTTAGGACTTTATATATAGCATTTGAACTAAGAATAAAAAGATTATGATAGAACAATATATCTTCAGCAACCGCGTTCAATTCAAAACCCGAATATTCAAATAGTTATAGGGAGGTTCGGACTTGAAACACTGCAATATATACAAGGTTGTTATTTTTACCATCATCATTGTGCATTTACCCATTTTATATCTCTAGATACGAAACTACGTGGCGGAACTTTCTAATTTAAAGGACCAATTCAACACTCTTTCTAGCCAGTCTAGTGAGAAGCTTAAAAAGATTATTCAAACTGTCCAATCTTATCAAACACGTATGGAGCCGCTAAATAAAAATATGGAACAACTTCAGATTTTACAAAGAAGTTAGTTTTGTATTCCATCGCAAATTTTATTCTCCACTTGCAATTAGTTATTATTATTTATTATTTATTATTATTATTATCTACAAATGAATGTCGACCAAAATTACCAGTTAAATAAATGTCTAGCTATTACATGCAGCTTTCGGTGGAGATAGATACTTCATTTACTGAGTCTTCACGTATTCGGAACTACCCTATATAATTCCTTTTTTTTTAACTTTAAGTATCAATAATCTTCAGATTGAGGTAGTAAATACCGAACTGTAGAGCAAAATATTTCTTCGCTCTCACACACCCACTAGAAGATATCTCTCTTCGGAAATTCTGACCAAACATCATCGTATGTTTTGTCTAACATTACTATAGAGTTGTTTGAGTAGGAATTTCAATAAAAGCTAGTCTTACTGTTAAACTTCTACTGAGGCTTCATACCATATTTTTTCACATGTAGGTTTTAGGAAAGAGAATCAGGTTTTAGTGAATAAATTAAAAAATAATATTCACCTTAGTGGGTTAGAAATAATAGACTTATACTGCTTAATTAATAGAGTGTCGCATTCTAAATTGCTTCTGCGTAACTGAGCTTCTTGGTTTTTCAACCTGTAAAATAACTTGTTAAGTAATTTATTTCTTAAATTTTTTTACGTTATACAGATTTAGAGGCCTGTCGATTAAAGTTAAGTCAAGTGCAAGAGTATCACCGTACCGGTCGTGAGTTGGAAAATACTATTAGACAAGGGTAATTTTACAATATATATATATATATATATATATATATATATATAACAGAAAAAAAATCTGATTTTCTCTTCTTTCTACTTGTAGACCGACAGTTTTTACTGACAAATTTTTAAAGGCTATGGAACGTATAAAGGATGCGTTGGCTTATTTTCAAGAGAATAATCCACAAGATGTTGAATTTAGTCGATTGGTAAGGGGATACGAAATATTATCAATCAGTTTTCTGTACAGCTAATTATTTTCTATTGCATTTATCCTCTTTTTGCATTTAATTATTCATGTCTACGTATCTTCAATTTTTTTGGCTCCTAGACATCATTGTATTCAATTGGTTTAGGAAGCTTGGAACGTGAATTCGATGGTTTATTAAGACAAACTTTCCGTCCTATAGATGATGCTACTTTAATAAGATTAATGGATCAAAAAGGTGCGTTTTTAGTTGTTTTTGATAAAGATCCTAATTAGTCTATTGTATTTAGAATTTCAGTATAACCCATCCCTCAAATGTGTTTTTCTTTCTTCATTAATTTTGTTAATATTTTGGGAGGATAGACAAGAGTTATGAATTTAGTGCTCTCTTGAACTAATTATCAGACTGCCTCAGTCATTATGTATGTAGCACTTACTTCTGTTCGCTCAGGAAATAATTGTTCTCTGGCTACCTTTTCTGTTATTCTGGATATACTAACTATCCAGTTTAACTTCGATAACAGGTTAGAGATAATCTTGAGTATCTTATTAATGTAATCAAGCAATAGTCATCTACTATTAGACGGAAACATAATGATTCCTTCCCTCTATATGGAATTAATATAGATTCATTTTTGGAAACTATCTTTTCCAAATTATTCATATTTACGGTGAGTTGGGAGATGCTGTTTTTCGTTATGAAACCACTAGACTAGAAGTTACAATAATTACGTCTAATATTATTGGTTATTGGATTTCCAACTGTTTATTCACTATCATTTTCCGTATTGTTCTGATAAATCATAAAATCCTGTTTACAAACTTGAAGTGTGCACATTCTTTCATTGTTTTGTAATTTTAACTTTTTTATTTGAATTTGGTGTTTTTCTTTAAGAATGATAGACTTCGACCGTGAACTTAACATGGCGTTTATTATTCTCACACCCACTAATTGATTAAATTTAGGTGACCATCGTTACTTTAGCTCACAGTGTATAATTAGTGACTTGATATACTCAGTTTTTAATCAACAGTTCACAGGTACAAACTCCTCTCGATCTACTTCAGTATAGGCGATTTGATTGGGTTGTCTAACTTTTTCATGCATTTTACTTTTAAACAGGTGGCTCGTTTCCAGCTATCCACGTATTTTGCTACATCATACAGATATATCCGATGATTTACTAACTTCAAAATATAGATTTGTCCTATCTAAGATATATTAGTCCAACTCCTTGAGTTTGTTCCTGTTTGATGGTCACTTTTCTGTTGTATAGTTTTATAATTTACTGAAAATTCAAGTAGCTCATATGCTTAATATTTACTTAAAACTTCCCTATTATTATTAAACTACTAATGCAATTCGGTAAGCAAGTTCAGGTTTATGTATTCAGGTTTAAGCCATACGCTTTTGCTTGTAAGACCTAATGGCTGTTAGATTTAGTCATAAAGTAATTTATTTACAATTCATTTTGTCAACACTAAACCTTTAAATTTTAGTCTCTGACAAAGAATCAGGTGATGGTTCATTAACTGAAGATACAGAACAAATAGAGGATATTCCAAATAATATGTTGAATAGTTTACGTTTTCTTGCTAAATGGATGAGTGAAAATCAATCATTTGTAAACAAACCACAAGGTATATCTCAAGGATGTTTGACAAAATATTGTGAATGCCGTCGTGAACTTATCCGTTTAAATTTAGTAAGGTAATTTTATGTTAACAGTGTATGTTTCGTTTTATCGATTAACATAATTCCGTCTATAAAGTATACTGATAGATTTCCCTACACAACTCACTATAGAATCAAAGTGATCATGGCTGGGAAAAATAGGCTTTAGTGTCGTGCGACAAACTGGCCTTAGCAACTTCTGATTTAACATACATCGAAAATAATAAAGGTGATAATCACATTTCAGGTACATCCTATCAGTGTCTCAATAGTTAAGGCGTTCAACGTTTAAACGCTAACTTGGTGGTTCGATCTTCTGTCCAAACTACTTCAGTCTAGCCAACGAGGTAGTATACCCAGCGCTTACTATTAGAATGTGATTGGAAGCCAAGTGTGGGAATCTGCACGTAGTAGGCGATCGGAATCCAAGCAAGTTTTGAGGTAGTCATTTCTAAATAAGTGGGGGAAATATTTGTTTCATAGTTTAGGTCAGGGTTCATTAAATGAAACCTATCTAAATATGAAAATCTAGCTTTTGTGTTACAAATCCATTAAATTTTGTTTTCTAATTAATTTTTATTATTTTATACCCATGGTCTTCTTAATTCAATGATGTGTTATTTTTGACTGCCTTAATGTATATGGGAATACAAGCCTATATAAGGCTTGGTTTGATCAGTGTTTGGTAAATTAATCGTGATAAATTTTGATATCTAAAAGTGTAAAAAATATATTCTATTATGGTTTCATTTTCACATTATCATAAGACTAATATTCCTTACCTAGTGAAAATATGGAAAGACAACTGTATAATTTGAACACTCAGTGAAATACTGAACTATTGACCACGTATAGCATGCATAAGAGGCGTTGTATGAATGAAGAATCTGGACAAAGTCACTAATCCATCTGTCATATAGGTGCTTGGCGGTCAAAATATTTTGTTTGTAACCGTTAAGCTGCAGGCTTGGACCTCGCTTCACATATTATCAGGTTTTGATGTTGATTTGTGTGGTGTAATAACTATGCCATTCATTTGAAGTTTAGTTCTGTAGTGCAATATTTTTAAATGCTTAATATATGATACAAAAACATGTTACACATATGTTTTATTATTGATACTACTATTTAACGAACAGTTATCTTTCTACACTACATGGAATATTTTAGAGTACGTGAATTATTAAGAAAAGCTGAAAATCCATCATCATCATCATCTGGCACAGTATCTGTAAGTTCACTTACCGTGTTAATCTTGACTGAATTTTCCTGATTAGATATAGATTTCGCAAAAAATGTTATACTTTTTGCATATTTGTTTCCAATTATTTTAGAAACCAGGATTTCTGCCGCCAAACGTACGTGGTCGCACTAAACGGTAAGTATTAGACTTTCTCTTATAGTATTGTACAATTATCCTCCTTTATATCATGATGTCGTTAGTTTTTTCTGTTATATGAAATTGCTAAACAAAATTTAAAAGTAAATTGTTAGCTGTCATATGCAGATATTGTAACCTAATTATTTTGTTGGAAAGCATACTCATCTTCATATTCATGAATTAATCTCTTATCCGCCTGTGATCCTTCTGGGATTACTGCTGGTCCCAAAAGAGGAGGGTTGGACATAGGGTCAGCAACAATATATTGTATAAAGCAACGTTATTTAAAAAAATGCTAATCAGAATGAACAATCTAAACTATCTAAACTCTGTCCTCCGAGTTGAAGGATCTTCATTTAGAAGAATTATGAGGCCTCATGGTGAAGGCCGAGAATCTGTCACCAGTTCGACTCCCCTTCTAACAACCAGGGTGACAATTAATATAGGTACATGAAACGTATGGACAACGTAAGAGACCAGGATGACTAATCAAATAGGTGTGGAAATGAGGAGATACAAGTTGGCGGTTTTCAGAATAAATGAAACCCATTGGATGCAGACTGGACAGAAAAGATTAGATTTGAGAGAGGTACTGCCATGCTCTGGTCATGAAGAGAAAAATGCTCTACACACTCAGGGATTTGCTCTGATGTTGGTCAGAGAAACATGTAAAGCACTTATAGGATGGAAATCTCATGAACCCAGGATCATCAAAGCGACCTTCAAAACAAAGAAGGAGGAATTCACACTGAATATTATCCAATGTTATGTACCCATTAATGACGACGATAAAGATCAACGTTATGAGAGGCTGCTATCGATCGTGGCGAAGTGCTCGGGAAAGGGCCTGACCATCTTGATGGGAGAACTGAACATCAAAGTCGGAATAGACAACACTGAATATGAAGATACCATTGGACGGCATGGACTGAGAGAAAGGAATGTGATTGGCGAGAGATTTGTAGACTTATTTGCATTCAACGAATCGGCCATAGGTGGCACTATATTCCCCACAAACGGATGCAAAAAGTTGCATAGATTTCACCGGATCACGATACAGAGAACCAGATAGATCACATTTGCATTGCTAAAAAATCCAGATGGTTAATGGAATATGTGAGAACTAAGAGAGAAGCTGACATGGCTTTCGATCTGAGCCGCTGTTGGTAAACAAACCTAGTTTATTATTCTAAAAGAACATAATTGTTCAACCCTTTGTTTTGGTAAACACCTCATCTAATGTTTCAACTAACATCAAACGCTTTATGATCACCTCTAATAACCCGATGTTGCATAAATCAATAATATTTGACTCAGGCATTTGTTTAAAGGCTGGAGAAAAGTTCTACATATCATTAAGATTCGATCATCCAGGTAAGAAACTACGCTATTAGCACAGTAGATGTTTTCGAAACCTTAACTCATAGATCTTCCTTAGATCACGAAGTGACAATTCATGAATGTTATTTTTGTCACTACACATACTGTGAAGGCAGAATATATAAATAACGTATGCTAAGTTGAATCGTCATTGAATCGGCGATGCAAATCAATTACATCCATACTAAGATGTGATTTGTAAAATAGTGTTAGAAAATTTTAGCGTAGTTGCTTTGTTTAAGCTTACTGGTGTATTGTGGGGTTTTTATTGTCTAAAAAATTTATTATCCTAAACACAATGATCAGTATGCAGTTTTTCAAAGTTTATGCCTATTTTAGATAATCTTTTCAATGACATTACTTACGAATTGATTTTACAAATTGCTGATATTTCAGGGATTTAAACAATTTATTACCAGTTTTCCCGTGTTTATTTGATTTTATTTAAGCCTCCCTGGATTCGTTTGGGATAGTAAGTGATGTTATTTCGATTCCGATACATTTTATTGATAATGAGGTTAAATAGAATGATTTGTCTGTCTTTATTTCTTTACTTGCTAATAATAAAGTTTATTTGACTGCAGTATGATTCATCCCATCATAATTATTCATCATCTAAATTGTGTGTTCTGAGATGCTCCCTAAATGTCTAGATCTTGAATTCCCTAGTGCATCATTGGTTTGAAATTAAGATTTTACCACTCCCCTAGGTCTACTCTCCGCATTCACCAACCCGGTTTCAATGTCAGACGTTCTCTTTGGTCCTCTCACTCACTTACGTAGTGAGAAACTATGTGACGGTATGAGTGGCACTTCCCTCACTGTTCTATAAACGTGTGACTGTGTGACAGCATTGCGTAAATAACAACGAAATCCTCCCAATTTTCGCAATAACAGAGCGTTTTAAGGCTACAACATTTTAAGTTACTCGTAGTAGGTTGGCAATCTTGACAATCATATTCTTTGTTTTTAGTTCTGCTAAAATGTCAACGTTTTGGCTATCCTCACCTTTTAGATTATTAAATTAGAATAACAAGGAAAACGTGTATTTGTGAACTAAACCAATAGTTTTAAATATTCTATAATCTTTGTTTATGAAAATTGCTCTGAAAATATACAACTTCCTTTATTGTGATAACAGTAACCTGAGAGCGTTTCAATTATTTTTTCTATTACGATCTAGAAATATTATTTTCTTGTCTGATGTGATGTTCCATCTCTGTTATCAGATTATCACGTGACAAAGCAGAGGAAATTTCTAAGATGAGAGTAGTCTAACTATAGTTGATATCACGTAATAAACTAAATAAAATCAATGCATGTGAAAATTCTAGAAAAATTACATACTCTACATGGGATTTCTCGATTAGGTACTGAGTTATTATGTAGAACTCTTCATTAGTGCTCTATACGGAATCTGACACGATATCTTCAAGTCTTTCAGTGGTCTATATTTTCAATATTTGTTAACATATATCATAGAGCATTTCTCATACAATATCACCAATATGTTTTCATCTTACTCCCGACCTAATTGATTTCACATACCACAGCTTCCTTTTTAAAATGCACTCCGAGACAAGTTGCTAGTTAGCACGTTATTGTTGTTAATTAAATTAGTTTATTGTTGTTGGCAGCACACGTAGAACTTCCTATAGGTGTTAATCCACCAACGACCGAAGAAATCATGATGGCCCTCAGACAAATAAACATTAGGAAAGCGCTAGAACCTGATAACATAACAGCTGGGAGAGAATTAACTAGAGAGTAAACATGACTTGAGACCTGCTCATGAATACATCAACCACATATTTACCATTTGTCAGATTGTAGAACTCGGGCATACTCATCGGCGTCCGACAATGGTGGTCTTTTTAAACTTAAAAGCAGAGTTTGACTCCATAGACCGCGAGATTCTGTGTCAGTGTCTGTCATTAACAGGAGTACCTCAGAAGTAAATAAACCTTGTGAGGGCTCTTTACTCGAACACTACTAGTCGAGTCAGAGCTTAAGGCTATTTGTCATTTGATTTCGCAACCTCTAATGGTGTCCATCAAGGCTGTCCACTATCTCTTTTGTTTAATTTTATCATAGACCTACTGCTGGAAATAACGTTCTCGTCGACTGAATTTTCAGGACTTCATCTCCTACCAGGAGGTCTACTTATCGACTTAGAATGCACAGATGATATATTCCTGTTTGGTGAAGACGCTGATAAAATGCAGTCTATTGAGTGCACTGAGCAACAATGCCAGAATGTTTGGGATGCGTTCCTCCCCCTTTAAATGCGAATTACTGCTTCATGACTTTTTCATTATAGTTGCACACTAATGTTATGGTATTTGCAAAGAAGAATTACCATTTCCTCAAAAATTTAAGAATTTATGATGGTTATCAAAAGGAAATTGCAATAACAAGTTATTAAGTTAGCAAATTATTCTGAATAAGATGGTTGAGAAGTTAAAGTAGATGGTTAATTATTTAAAGGTATGCAGAATCGTTCATTTAATCTCGAATCAGCAGTATGTTAATCACAACTAAAATAGGAGGAAAAGGTGCGTACTTTGAACAGTTAAAAAAGGTTATCTTTGCATATTACACGGATATCAAGTAAAATTTAGTTAGTTATTGTTTGATAAACAGTAGTTATTATTAACTTATAACCGGACACTGATATGTTTACTTGGCTTCTAGCCATACTTGAAGTGTAAGGGTTGTCAATATTTATCAGTTGCCCAAAGTGAAATAGATTGAGCAGTGTTTGGACCTGCTATTTAGTGGATGTAAGGTGAATACCTTAACCACTGAGCTGTCAACCTCTTAAGAACAGTTGAAAATGGTTTCAGTCATTGTTTTTATTTTTTATTTAACAAGCACATAAATACTGTGGTTAAAATTAATATCATTAGTTTTCTAATTTTCCAGTTCAATATTCGTCTAATTCTGTAATGTACTTGAAGAGGTATTTATGTATAATTGGTCGACAACAATACCGTGTAAGCAATCGTGTAGGATATAAATAATTGGTAGTAGATTTACTATTTCCCAAAAGTTCAACCTTGATCAGCCTAAAACAGGGTGTTTTCTAGTTCTATTTCGGGATTTCTAAGCTACCCGAACCCAGTTAAGTTCACCGCATTAAAGTGTACACCTTCGATATATGACTCGTAATGAGATTTCAGAAAACTCCGTAAATACCGGTTTTTCTCCTGTGTCGTCATCGGTTAAAGTAGTGATTAAAATTCTGTTTTCGTGTTGTTTCTTAGCACTGTGGCTAACTGTTTATGCTTCGTAAAGTCGTGGACATGTTTTCTTGACCACATATGCCTTAGAAATATTGCTGGGATCACCGGGTAAGTAATAGTGAAATTATACACAGAGTATCAGGGAATGATGGTAAATCAGTTGATAAGGTTGTAAATCTCCGTCGACTGAGATGGTTGGGCCACGTGTTACGTATGCCTGAACACCGATTATCACGACGCGCAATTCTGACTAGTGTTGGGGATGGTTGGAGAAAGTTACAGGCGGCCAAAACAAAACGTGGCATCAGTGCTTGAAGTCACTAACTTCTAGTCTGAGCCATGTTGGTAGATGCAAACTAATTACTTGGGGTCCACGCGACTATTGTAACCAATGCTTGGAGACTGATTGACATGGATCAGGATCAATCACAATGGCGTAGGTGTATACACTTTTTGTCTTCTCTTAAACTATGAGATTAAAATCGCTTCATATGTTTCTACGAACTACTAACTATATCCTTATATGCAATCTTTCTTTTATATATTACCATCATTGGATTATCTACTTCTGTGAATCCAGTGTTCATCTTGCTGTGCTAATGCGGCATGGCAACTTGGACCAATGCATATATGTGCCTGGTCCTACGTTGTAGCTGACTGACTAGACATGTTTTCTGACTAGTGTTTAGCTCTGTGAGATGTTCCACTTCCGAAAGCCTAGTAACATTAGTGACTCCCATATAATAAATTGTTTTTACAGTTTGTTAAGTAGTTTTTTTAGTTTTGAGTAATTTGGGGAAATTGGTTTATTCCAAATTCTGTGTACTTCAGAAACTGTTCTCAACTGGGGTACCAAAGTTCGATCCTTGTTGAGGTTTAAGTGAAAACTACTGCGGAGCTCACCCTAGAACGAATAAGCTATCCAATACTCCCTGGCTTCTAATAGTACCCGAAATGCTATCAATTGTAACGTGTAAGACTTACTAGTTTTTTAAAAACTATTAACTATAAATCTTCTTTCTGTTCATTGAAATATTCGACTTTATAATTCTTTAGTGTATACCTTGTAAATATACTGTTCATTCTTTTTTTTTCATTTTCTTTTTTATAGTAAATGCTGTTCGACTGATTAATGAAGCAGAAACCGATGAACTTGATTCTGAACACTATGCTATCGCTCTAGGTGTTCTTGTCAAATTAATGCAAGTCAGTGTACACTTTGAATACTGCGTCATTGATTTTTCATCATTCTCAATATATATTAGCTGAACGTCCCTTAAAGATGAGATTCTAGATTGTATCTTCGGAGAACAATGCCGCAGTGGTTAAAACAATCGATCTTCACTTATTTACTTTATTGTTTAGTCGTTCAAACCCATAGTTTCCAACTATTTACCTCGGGTTTGGACCGGGTTCCCTACAGCCTCCTCGTATCTTCTCTAATGTTCAGTACTATGTCACGCCTACACGGGTTGTTCTAGCTTTCAGAGAGTCCAAATGAATTGTTCCTCTTGAGCCATTATTGGACCTTGTTAGTTATTCGCTTGTAACCTTGACTTTTCATATGAGCGTGTGTGTGTACCGCTTACTCGCTCCTCAAATATCTTTAGCTTATTTTTGTCTGGCTTTAAATAGTGAGTCACACTTTATCAAATAGAGTTGAAACGGTCCGCTTTTCTGAGTCTTTTCGCTTTCCCGCTTCTTATTCTTAATGTCTATCTGAGTAAATGAAAATCTGAAGTAAATTCAATCCAACTTAATCTGTATTTGGCTTATTTTTACAACCGTCGCACAAATGAGCTAATCGATACGTAATATATAGAATTAAACAGATTTATGTTTGTCATATTCCTTCGTTTATACAAATCGGAGTCAAATCTCCGGTCATTCAATTAACGATCCATCATACTTTATACCTTACACAAAACGTCTGGTTCCAAAACCCGAATTGAGTGAATGAATCATCATAAATTTTATCTAATTATTGTATCACAGGTTCAAAACCTGCTGATCACCGATACTTCATTTTGAATACGCAGCTAGTACCAATAATAATAAAGTACATGGGTTTGCATATAAGTGCTGAGTTGCATTAAGCGTATTTTTTATTTAATATAATCCCATTGTGCATTACAAATTTTTATTAAGCCAGGTGGATCATTCAATAATAGGATTATTTCCTAAGTTTTATACCTTCGATAATTTTGTCCGGGTACTAACCAATTGTAAACCACTGAATGTAGTTTAGTTTATCGATTATAAGTCGTAAGTTCTACATTCTTCTTCTTCATCAATACCTTCAGTTGTCTTTTGGTTTTTGACCGTAGTTTTTTGTTACTACTCAGTAGGAGTGCACGAGGGTGTGTTTTATTCCCTAGAAAATTAGAGTAACTATCCTCCACTAGCTATTATCATTATTTTATTTAATACTTTTTAGAATGAATGTATTTTGTTGGATCGTTTACAGTTGACTGCTAGTCCACAAGATTCTCAAGTGTTATTGTTCAATATATTTAAAAACGGGTCATCTGATATCCTAACTGAAGGAACAGTAAGTCTATTTCTTTTTCTCCCTCTTTAATAGGTCATATTATTAAAATGCTTGATATCAGTAATGATAAGTCAGTGTCTTAAAAGTATATTATTGGAATCCAAAATTACCATTACAACTTATTGTAGGCTATTTGCATGATGAAAACCCTACACTAACATTCACACCACCTAGTTACCTAGTTATAATCTTTTTGTATAATCCATAGTGCTAATTTAGTTCTATCGATTAGGCTTAGTTCTTCCTACCGGATTGGCTTTAACTGTCGAACACTTCTAAATTTCTGTTCTTTGAACTAATGTATATTTCAAGGTGATATTCATCACAAATTGACACTATGTGAGGTACCAGTGAAAACTGAATAGCAATCAACAGTCTTTTCGTTCTTACGTGGAACTTCCCAACAGCGCACAGTAAGACCTCATGAGCAGTCGAACTCAGAACCTTCAGTTGTCGTGGTGAGATCCTAACCATCACATTAATTGTTTGGGATTCAATGGTACATTTTTAACTTCAGTCAGTTCGTTACACAGAATGATGACCGTCTAATTCCGTTGGTGACTACTGTTTCGCCCCCAACGTGTTTAAGGTCCACCGGTCATAAATTTTTACCTGAACTTCAGAAATTCATCTCAGAGTTATCGGTGATCACAAGTTTTATTAGATGATCAGTTGTGCAGATTAGTTTAAAATAAAGAGGGCATTCGTCACAGAAACTTGAAGATTGTCGATTTTTTTCTCACCCTGTTCACAATTCTGGATAATCAGAAAATTGTAGGATATTATTGGAGATCATTCACTATGCACATTATATTATGAGTGACTTGACAAATCAATCCCTCTCTCCAGTTCGACCACAATTTCAGTTTTTCTTTGGGGTTTTCTGTGTTTTAGTAGACATCGTACGCGGTAGGTAGCCAATATTTTTTCTAATGTTACACATTTTTTAAACATTTGTGTCGAAAGACTAATAAAACTCCGTTTTCTTTTATTTTGTTTCCAAAATATCTCTTCAGGAACTTCTTATCTATTTAATCCATTATTATGTAATGTAATTCATGTGCAATAAGCATTAAGTATCATAAATGATTCAGTAGTATTTACATTGCACTTTTGTTGGTTCATATTCACAGACTTAGCTTTGTTTTGATGTTTACCATAGACACTAACTCGTTTAATGCATCGAGCTCAAGGACGGGCAGAATTTCATATGGTTATGTCATTATTAGTAGTACTTAAAAAGTTTTTCCAGATTTCTGATGATCTTGTATCTGTACTTCAGGTAAGATAAATGTTTTTAATTATTGAGAATTTTCTTCATTAATTATTGGAAACATATGCATCCATTTGTCCTTTTATAAATGTTATATTTTGTTCAAGTATTCTCTCTAAGGTTGAAATCCGGTATTATATATGGAATAACGCTAAATAGTGATCATATCGTACCACTGCGTTTGATTAAGGTAGAAAATGTAACTGCTAAATTTTGTCTTCAATGTTCTAGTTTGGATCTTATTTAGATCAGATCATGGATATGTCCAAATTAAAGTAGTGTAAATATAAAGCTTTTTAAAAAAAATAACGATGATTGTATGAACTCGCATCTGAGATCATAGCACTGTTTTATTTGATAAATTAATCAGTTTTTAGTAATAAATTTGTATATACTTAACAACTACTAATGTTAATTTGTTTTTTCCTTTTTTATTTATTTTCTAAATAGGGTGTTGATAATGTATTAATTGATTTTAATCAATTAGTTCTTCGTTTATTAAGTCAAAGTAAAATAACGCTAGAAACTTATGTACAATTTTTACAACAAGTTACAGAAAAATCTAGTTCAAATAGTAATATTGTACCCGAAGATGGAACAATACATGAACTTACAACTAATGTAAGTGAAATTTCATTGATAGTTGTGTATTGAACTTTAAAGAATAAGAACAAATATGCGTTTTCTTTTTCATTCATTGGTCATAACTTTGGTGGATGTGTGAATAAAATAGACTTACACTGTAAAAGCTGTTAATTAGTGGTATATTTTTAAGAACCCTTTTTTGATATTATTGATCTGTTCAGTGAAAATGTTAATCAGTAATGTGAAATTTTTTTTAGAAAATTCTCTAGGTTGCATCAAGCCTCTTTCAAATACTCCTCATTTGTGCCTGTACACTTGTCCCATCATTTTGTTGACTGTTGAAATACACCATTCTGTGTAATCAGACCTTGTCATTTCACTTTTAGTCGTCCTATTGCTGCTGTCAATACAATTTCGGATTGTATAAGCAAATTGAAAACCTAAGTGATGTAGTCTAAATAACTAGTTGCATGGATGATCGATCTAGTATGACAATTGAGTTTGTAAAGATATATGTCCTTAGCTCACATATTTATTATTTCATTTATTGGATCAAGGAAATCATAAATTACATTGATTAGTACCTCAAATAAGGCAAGCTGTCTGTGTTAGGCTAGCTCAAGGTAGTAGGGGCTGTATATTATTACCATAGTCTTTCATTTTTTCAGTGAAGCGCTCCCAGTATTTTTAAGTATGTAACTGTTATGTCCTTGGACTGTCTATCTACTTTTGGTGCTGAGGTTACTTATCTAATCCAGATTTAAGACCTTGGCGCGATAGGCTGACGGACCTAACTTTGAGGCTAGTACACATGAGTTCGAAATGGGGTAGAGGGGAGAAAGCTATTTTACCACCTGATTGGCTGACAAGCATGCGGACGAGAGAAGACAAAACAACTGGAACACTACCTGATCTATTCCCGATATCCTGATTTCTGATTTTCTTCTGATTTCCAGATTAGTGTAAAAAGGTACATGAATAAAGAGGTGACTAACCCGACCACAACGTACAATAATTAAGAAAAAGACAATTATGCCCAAAGCTGGGAACTAGAGTAGGAAATAGGGTGCAAAATATTATGCTTAAATTACAATTGCTTCGGAACAGAAAAGGGTAACACAGACTATTTATTGGTCATTTATGTTGTGTGCGTGCAACAAAGTCAATCTTAAGTTCAATTCTATGATCATCAAAACACCATTCAAAGTTTACTAAGGATTATCGGTACAGTATAATAATAACAATCTGATAATGTGTTAATATTCATAACTGATGAAATAAACTTTCTTGGTTTTTTCTAGTCACTGCTGTTCTTATTCTTCTTTCATCGAGTATACATTTCACAAAAATACTTTTTTGTGACCTATATAAACAACAGACTAAAATATCACTATTCATCACCGTTTTGCATGTAACATTTCTCCAAGATGACATTTAAAAGGTAAATACTAAGAATTCTTTCTTAGTTTATGACTTCCTAAAGTAAATTATAAAAATTGTGCTATCCTGAGGCAAATGTACACTGACTCAATTCGTCACACCAAGAGGTGATAATCAAATAAATCATCAACTATAAACATCTCTATCCCTCAGGAGATCAGACGCGACTCGAGCACCTCAGTAATAACGTTTCAGACTGTGAAGCTAAGTGAAATGGGTTCGAGTCACATAGTAAACATCAGTTCCCTCAGAATTACATATAAGTCTTGTTGATGAGTGCCATGTATCATAAGATCTAGGTCCAATATCGTCTGTTGACAACGTCTAATCACCTAACGAGTCCCCCTATAAAATACTGTGCCTACTAATTGATACGTATCAGTATTGTTGTTATGCACATTGAACTGACTTGAAATATCTATGTATATCTGTTTTTTTTTCCTTATCGATTAGGCATTGATGTATTTAGAAAACTTGTTAGAATTCGCTGATATTATTGGTACTACTTTGTCATTTACCGAAGCTGGTCCACAAGCTACCACTAACACACTTAAATATCTTACCACTATTGGCCAAAATCATGCCTTTTTGGAAAATAAATTTGGGAATTATTTATGTAAGGATTCTTTTCTTTTTTTGTATGATAAGTACTTTTTTAGTTTGTTATTGACAACTGAAACTAGTTTATTCATAAAACGTTGCTTATTATCTTTCGAGGGAAAATAGTACATATTCTGATCAGCAAGAACTGTTTACATCTATTTAGAAACATGCACTCCATTCATTTTGGAAGTTTGTTGTTTAATGCATCAGTCTCATTTGTTTGTGATCAATTAGTTATTCAATATACAATTGCTGTTTTTTATGACAAAATCAAATGTCGAAATACTAAAGTTGTCGAAAATAGGCATTTATAAATGATTTTTTTCGAATGACTTTAGTTGGCCTACACAATTTATCAACTACATTCATCTTAGTCTACATAATCCTATTTGCAACTTTATGTGAACACATCCATTTCAGAATAATCCGAAATTTATCTGACATACATACTATAAGGTCATTGATATATTCGTTGGAGAAATGTTTTTGCAGTAATACAAAAGAGTTAAGGATAACTTGAAAAAAAAGTCTTATAACGCACAGTTCTCTGTAAAGAAGTAATGAGTTATCCTTTATAAAATGCCTTACTTCTTTCTCATAGCAAAATAAAACCCTACTTAACTGTTGATATTACCAACTGAATATTTACTATGATGTGGTTATATCATAAAGGAGATCTAGAAACGTACCAAAAACAAACCGTAGTTTACACAACGAAGACAATAGTCAATTAGAAAACATAAGCATCCGAAGTGTTTCTTTCATAATTCGGATCACGACTATGATAAACTCCCTAAGAGTACAATATACAAAGCGAACAAATAAACATGGAATACTAAATTTGATCTGTGCATTTTAATAGAGCGAATTCATATGGGATACTTATCACCTCAGGGTTTCATCACCTATGGTTTCTGCTCAATGGTCACCGATACGCAACATTCCAAGACCGATCATGAAGTCTCAGCTTCCAAACGCTAGTTAAGAAATATTTTTCTAGCTTTCTGAATCAAATGTTCATGTTAGAGTGACTACCCTGAAGTTTATTTGAACTACTCCTCTAGCCATCACCAAACATCTGTTGAAACAAAAGTTCTCTCGCTCAAAACCTCTCTCTAAATTGACTAAAAAAGTGCTTTGAAATCACCGTTACAAGAAAATTTCAACTACATATAAATCCTTTATTTTAACTACTTAACAATTGCAACACTGCTGGTCGCTTCCAAAAGCCGCATTTAATTGCTTCAAAAATAAATATTTCTCAGAAGCAATGACAACTATATTTATTAGGGTTTATTTGTTTTTTCCTTTCACCTTTTGGAGCCTTTTAATCCAGGAATGAAATTATGTAACATAATTCTGGGTTGTTCAGTGGAACCACATAAATGTCATAAATTATTCAAAGTTTATTTTTCAACATATCGGTCAGTCAGCTACAACGTAGGACCAGGCACATATATGCATTGGTCCAAGTTGCCATGCCGCATTAGCACAGCAAGATGAATACTGGATTCACAGAAGTAGATAATCCAATGATGGTAATATATAAAAGAAAGATTGCATATAAGGATATAGTTAGTAGTTCGTAGAAACATATGAAGCGATTTTAATCTCATAGTTTAAGAGAAGACAAAAAGTGTATACACCTACGCCATTGTGATTGATCCTGATCCATGTCAATCAGTCTCCAAGCATTGGTTACAATAGTCGCGTGGACCCCAAGTAATTAGTTTGCATCTACCAACATGGCTCAGACTAGAAGTTAGTGACTTCAAGCACTGATGCCACGTTTTGTTTTGGCCGCCTGTAACTTTCTCCAACCATCCCCAACACTAGTCAGAATTGCGCGTCGTGATAATCGGTGTTCAGGCATACGTAACACGTGGCCCAACCATCTCAGTCGACGGAGATTTACAACCTTATCAACTGATTTACCATCATTCCCTGATACTCTGTGTCTAACCTCAACATATACATAAATCTATAAGCATTTGACTATTTTTTCACCATTCTTATTTTCGAAAATTGTTTTTTCCTTTTAGTTAATGCTATATTCGCTCTTATGACAAATTTGGAACGTAAATCAGAAGTTTATTCTGAAGAGATACGTCGAATGATTTTCCAAATGAATAATATTCAGTACATATTGAAAAGTATTTATAAGTATGTGTTATTTCTAAACTTATATAATGTGATAGTATTCATGTAGTCCATTTAGGGAATACAAACTTAAGTATTCAGTTTTAAACCACACTCTGTCGAACTGCTCAGACCGAAGTAAATGTTGCAAAACTTACAATCTAGTTGTTGCAAATTAATTATTGTATCCATGATATTAATACTCTAAAAGTCATGTGTTTCTAACTAGCTGAATCTCCATGAACAAATTGCTAATAGGTATATATCCTGTAACGAAAAGTTATCCTAAATCAATATGTTCAAATTCAGATAACTTGCGTTATAAAGACCTTATGAAATTGAAAGTATATCTATTAAATATATTACTGTCTCTAGTGAAATTTCTCCAACCATTCATTCCATTTACTATAGTAGTTGTAACGATCAAAAGTCCAATAGTTGATCTGAATGCAGAGCTAATTAACCAAAGTAGATCGAACTACTTTTTTCTGTATAGCATATAAAGCATTTTTGAGTTACTCATTGTTATAACGCTCTGATTTCCTCGTCTACACGAACTGGATTCTAATTCGCCTTGGACGAATATCTTCACTAGATACCCTCCCAGTGTCTATTCTAAAGGCCTTCAACACAACTCAGATCAAGAACACGTGACTAACCCGACTAGAACGCATGTATACTTCCACACCAAAACCCAACAACAACCCGTCAACAGTCACAGTAACAATAAAAGTAAGAGAACATATAAATCATCTCGTACCTCTCAGAATATCTACTAATCTGACCAAAAAAACAACCAATCATTATCAGCCTCGCCCACAAATCACCAATACTAGGTTATATCAAAACACAAACCCTTTGTAATCGGTCCTAATCTAACAAAGGCAGCAAATTACATCAGGCACAGTCAGGCTGTTACGCTGTGTTTTAGCGCACATGTAACATATTGTCGAGGATTTTGGGATGTCGTTATTTATCAGGTATAAACAGTTTTCTTTCCGTCTCACAATAATTTTATAATATTTTTGTTTGTTACATGACATTTATTACAGTTTATTAGTAGTTTGACGTGTTTTTTGCTGACAACCTGTGTAAATGTTTAGTAAGCTTAATGTGGTTATTTGTAACATTACTAATTCAGGCTAGTGAAATTCACCGTTTATGAAGTCAAAAATAGACCATAATCAGAGTTTTATGGAAAAATGAGCGTTAAGAACTTTTACATATAATTCAGGTCCTTAATTATGGTGGTGTTGAAAGTGGATATTGGTGGCTGTTTGTAAACTGTAGATTTAAGCAGTTAATCTAACCGATTGGGATCATAAACATGGTATAAAGCAAACTACTAACATGGTGAGTCGTTCATAGTTATATGATGGGGATTGGGAGCTGTCAGTGTACGATACGACGAAACCCTAGAATAACTAGAATCAAATAACAAGTATTAATGAGTTAATTCTTGAATTCCTACTGCATTATAGACTGACTTTGTATAAGTCCAAGGTAATTCAGGCCATATACATGGCGAAAACTGAACGAGCAATCCAACCTAAAACACAAATTTCTAACACTAATATCTCCATTCTGGCCACGAAACTCAGCTAAAGTAACAAAGTAGTAAAATATAGTATAAGATAATTTGCGGAGATGAATAATGTTTAATCTGGAAGACAAGTTCATCAATAGATGGTCGATTCTTAACAGCAAGCACGTACTACACAGGCATATTTTGCTTCCGTCTTTGCTGACCAGTGGACACTTATTTTCTTTTCTGATTGTTTATGAGTTGTGGTCATGTCAGTAATCTAATTACCCATATCGGAGTTATATGCCAAAATGGACTGTGAAACCATTTGCATTTCATTCACGTCCTTAATTATGGTGGTGTTGAACTTGGATGTTCATAGCTGTTTGTAAAATGTAGGTTGAATCAAGGAACTGTGCATAAAATTACTAAAAGTGCCACATTAATCAGTCACATTTTCGTCATAAGTCACACGATGCCTGTTTGTTGTGAGCATGGTAACTGGACCTAATTGTAATTAACACTAATTTCTGATGCGTCTGTTGTAAGGATAATCAATGAATTTCTATTAACGGAATCCTTTATTACCCATAAAATTTTCACACCACATCTGTCTCTGAACTCCACTCGATTATTACACCACCCATCCTTAATGTTTCCTTGATTCTAACAACAAATAACCTCTGACCTGTTATTGCATATATACATATGTTTATACTTATTATTGATAACCTACGTTATTCCAATTCTTTAAATTCAGTTATGTCAACTGTGCCATACCTCAATGTTAAATTCTAATACATATTTGGTTGTGAGCAGCTGACGAGAACCACGAAATATAATGAATGCATACTATTCTGCATCAATATTTCTTCTAGTTTTATTTAAATTCATAAGCAGAACTAATTGCATGAAATTATAGTCTACCGAGTTAGTGATGCTAATTTGATAATAAACGTAATGGCACGGGAAAAAAGTCAGAGCCTTTCGAAGCTGCCCACCCTTTCGTTTCAACGACCTTGAACGGCCTGACAAAACGCGGTCATTCCGTATTTCAATTGCCATGGGTTTGTTAGGTTGCATGTGTATCAAGCTTTTTCATATAAGTCATCTTTCGCTGCATTGAAAAGCAAAAAATAACTGCCAAAAGCATTAATTTAGCGTTCTCTGTTTTGTAGTGTACATGTCGGCTCTGTTGTTGCTTCGTAACTTGATCTGTGATCCCAGCAACTCAACGAAATGCCAAGTCACTGGTAAATCCAAAATATTTGTAGTACTTCCTTGGGTTATTATTGTTTCAAGGAATAACTTTTTTATAATTAATGATTTCTGTTCGTAGTGCTTCATGCTCAAGTGACATTTCAGTGGACCTTAGCGATGCTTTTCAAAGTATGATACTGAACAAGCGTTTCGCATGCTGGGATGACTTTGATAGCGCGCTAAAAGAGTTCTAAAAAGTATGGATGAATAATTTTATTCCTTCTCAGACTACCCATACTCATTACATCCACACGGAAAGCAAGTTGCTGAAGGATGTCAGGTTCAAATACCTGAAACATATTCTCGTTACATATCCATTTTCTAAATGTTCCCTCACTTCGCTTTTTTGTCGCAGCAAATCCATTACCTGCTTTCGAGTACAACAATCTGAAATATATTTTTATACACTTACCTGTGGAGAGTTTGGCTTTCATAGTCTTTACATCAGCAGCGGTGACCACCTTACCAGTTCTCTCCTTGACACTTTCTATAACTTCATCTGTTGACTGGGACTGCAAAATGACTGGCTTCAAATTCTCTTTTTCTTCCGACGACAATCTTCTTGTCCATGGATCACAAACCATCCATGAACTACTACAAGGATGATTGCGGAGCATCTTGTAGGATTTGATGACATATCCTTGCTCCTCCATTCTTACACGGAACTTTGATTGGCAATTAAAGAATTTAGACCTTAAACGTCAGATATTAGTTAAAGTTCTCACGGTTTTTGATTCACTTTCAAACATTCCGAATTACGCTTATGACCAAATGTACAGTGAAACGTAACAAACAGGTATTTGAACCTGACATCCTTCAGCAACTTGCTTTCCGTGTGGATGTAATGAGTATGGGTAGTCTGAGAAGGAATAAAATTATTCATCCATACTTTTTAGAACTCTTTTAGCGCGCTATCAAAGTCATCCCAGCATGCGAAACGCTTGTTCAGTATCATACTTTGAAAAGCATCGCTAAGGTCCACTGAAATGTCACTTGAGCATGAAGCACTACGAACAGAAATCATTAATTATAAAAAAGTTATTCCTTGAAACAATAATAACCCAAGGAAGTACTACAAATATTTTGGATTTACCAGTGACTTGGCATTTCGTTGAGGCTGGGATCACAGATCAAGTTACGAAGCAACAACAGAGCCGACATGTACACTACAAAACAGAGAACGCTAAATTAATGCTTTTGGCGGTTATTTTTTGCTTTTCAATGCAGCGAAAGATGACTTATATGAAAAAACTTGATACACATGCAACCTAACAAACCCATGGCAATTGAAATACGGAATGACCGCGTTTTGTCAGGCCGTTCAAGGTCGTTGAAACGAAAGGGTGGGCAGCTTCGAAAGGCTCTGACTTTTTTCCCATGCCATTATGTCATAAGTACAGGATACCTTAAACGATATAGCCTGTGCTACATAGTCGACGGTTTATCTAGCACAAAATAGCATACTAAACAGTCAATAGAATGGTTAATAAACACAAGTGATCTGTACCTGAGAATCAATAAGACTATTCCTTACAAGATGAGATCAAATATCTATTTACAATGATTCGCTTAACCGTTTCCAGCAGGTAATCAAAGGTCAACAATCATCAATCGAGCCATGCCGAAACCTTGAGTTTAGTCAAATACGACTTCATTTTGAACAAGTTGGGAACATGCAGTAGCAAAATTAAATAAAGGTAAATCTTTCCTAAAGTTAAATGGTAAAAACCCGGGCAAAAAAGAGAAAAGAAAATAAGATAAAGTTACAAGAGACCTGAGCAAATTTTAACATAAGGTAGGACAAAAGATTAAAGAAATAACAGTACCGTCCAGTAAAACACTGGAGGGATTTTCAACCTATTCTCGTAAAGATTTAGTACGAACTAAAATCGTTTTTATCGCTGACTGATACCAGTTGATGAACTGTTGATTACTGATGTGCTTTAGGACGCTTGGATATTCTAGCTTAAGACTGCTTGACTGTACAGATGGACAATCTCAATCGAGACTCAGCTCATGGACAGCTTCTCAGGTTAATTAAAGAATGATGTTCTTCTCACTTTAAAACCCGAAAACTGTGGTTTCAACTCCGTATGAGGTCATGAGTGTACACTTTTTCATGATGGGCTCTTTACTAAAGCAAAACACTCACCCAGTCCTCCTTGGCTTTCAGTTGTTCTACTACTGGTTTCATTTTGTGATAAAATTACTTTACGAATTACTAACTTGATTTACAAAATGTATGTTACTAAACAGCCATCAGAAATTTGGTTTAGAAAATGTTTTAATACTTAGTAAGAAATAACAAAAACCTTTACAAATATTTTGTAACATTCATAATGAGGTAATTTCGTGCTATTGTTTAACAAACAACTACTAACTTTGCTTTCGAATAAAAGGAAACTTGTCATGAATATTAAATATCGTTGTTATTATTACTTATGTATAACCTATATTCCTCATGAGTAAAATATTATGGTTTACTCGTCTACCTTGCTACACAATGCTATTCATAGTAATAGATTGTAAGGAGATAAGGGGCAGCCAGACAAGAGCATGATATCAGTCCATAAAGTCATCCACTTTTTTACTGAGATATGTGGGGGGTAATCCAGACTTCTTGGACAGGAGCGTTTGCTGACATATCTCAAAATTGACCACGGTTGCATAGACATGTTCTTTATATTTTAAATTTCAATGTCATTTCATACTTTTCGTTCCACGCACCAGACAACCACAGGAAATGGTTGCTCCGTATCTTCAGCTGATTGAATTCAGATATATACACCATTGAATTTCGGTTCAGTCGTCTCAATGTTAAGTGTGGGCCCATGAAACCGAAGGCCCTGTTTTCGACCCCAGGTGGCAGGGTTATGGATGGACAACGCCAGGTCCCATACTAGGATGAAATAGTTGTACGGGGCTTTCAGGTATCCGACGGTTGTCTAACTTGGGTTGGTTCATGATCTCACCAATATATATTAATCTCCACAAATCCCTATAATTTTGATACTTAATCATCTATTCCCAATTACTTTTTTCCATATTGTGGTTTAAATAAATGGATATATCATTGTTTTTCTTCATTGTACAACTAAATAATACAGGTTTTCTTAATTTATACATTCTTTTTTCATTGTGTCGGTAATTGGGATGATTTTTAGGACAAATATTCACCGTTATCTTTTATCACAAGATCGTGAAGCTGTTGCCAAAATTACTAGTATATTGGATGAACGTAAACTTTTTTATACACGATGGTATGTTTAACAAATGTCCGTTTTTGGTGTTCACAATCTATTTCGTTTTTGTTTTGAGGAAAATCAAACTTTATTCAGTTTATTTACTGGTTAGAATATATATTACTAATATCCCGATGGGTCGAATATTGTATGTTTAACTCTTTTATTTTGTGTTCTCCCAAATTCTAATCCTCTGAATTTGTCATGTCCCTTTTTTCCTCTTTCCAAATTTATTTCACTGTGTTATACTTCTTGAATAACATCTTCAAACCCTAATGTTTCCGATTACTGCTTATACTCTTACTACCTCTATCACTACGGGATTTGAATCGACAACTGCATCTCTGTGCTAATGTGGTATGGCAACTCGAACTGACGTACGTACGTAAGAAGTCCTACGTTGTCACTGACTGACTGACTTCGATTCTCCGGATAATTTCCATCTGTTAATTGATAATAAACCTGACTCCTGACGGTTGCTGCTACTTTGACTTTGTGGTCGGTCTCGTCTATCGAGATAAACCAATCGGGCTATACTGGCTGGAACAATCGTTCCTCAAGGTTCCGACATGCTAGGTAGGTCGGTTGAAAAGCAGTAAGACTAAAAACAGTAAACCCAAGGTCCGAGAGCGAAGCCGTACTGCTGACCAACATGGCGACCCCCTGCACCAAACCAACGATGGACTCAAATAGACCATATTGCCATCAATCATCGGGGTCGATAGAAGATGGTCGCTCGTTCGAGAATACCTGCTTGGACTTCGACCATGTTCTAATATGGGCACCCATCTGCTTGCGCCTCACTGGACGCAGAAAGGCCACACAAAGAAGACCCGTTAGAGTCGAACTCAGTGACGAGAAAGCCAAAAGTGGATTCCGGGAACAACTGAAGCCACGCTTATGCAGTTCTGAAAGCGAGGCTGACCCAGATGTTTCTTGGGAAGATATACAAACAGCTGTGGAAACAACAGTGACATGTGTTAATGATTTAAACCAAAGGGTTACAAAAATCCAATGAACTTCCGTGACATCTGTTGCAATGATAGATTCTCGTAAACTTATCACATCAGACTCCAAACCCAATGACGAGCGAAAACAAATCAGATCTAGGTTAATCAAAAGTTTACGGAACGATCTTGAGCAGTGGTAGGCGATGAAAGCAAAAGATATGGAGGTAACAAAAGACAGCTTTTCAGACTAGTGAAAGAAACTGGAATTGGGAATTCAAGTGTGAGTGAAACAATCTCGGAGAAAGATGAAACTCTTATCTCCTCTCAGTCCAGACGTTTGAACGATGGATGGAACACTTTAATGATCATTTCAGCTAGCATTTAGCTACCTAACATTTCCAAACATGGAACATTGAAATAGACTCGCCGACTTTAATTGCAGTTCAAAAAACCATAGATAGTCTGAGACGAGGAAGATCAGCTGGTCCAGATGAACTTACCCCAGATTTCAGGCTGGCAGCTGTAGGTTTATGATAAAGCAGAAATGGGGATGGTAGACAGCCGTGACGGTCACCACTTGAGGTTGCAAAATCAGATGACTGTTCACCAAAGGCTCTGACTTGACTCCCCCTATGGATCCTTTTTTATATATTGGGACGATCAATGATTGCGGCCAGTTGGATAGGATTACGTTCAGTTCTCAGATTTTAGCTAAAATATTAATCAACCTAAAACTGAACCACCATTTTTAAAGACATCTGGAGTAAGTCCATCTAGACCAGCTGTTCTTCCTCGTTTCAGATTATCTATGGTTTTTTGAACTTCAATTAGAGTCAGAGAATCTGTTTCAATGTTCAATACTTTTTATATACTTTATCGTTTATTTTGTTCAACCATTCCTAGCATAATTTGTTTTGTAACAAATCCTTCGACGAAAGCATTGTTATAAACTCAGTACCTATCACTATAAAAATTGTCTTAGTGAAAATGTTTTTATGCACTGTCCCAGTCTCTTGACTGAATAGCGCATAAACACAAATTATCTATCTCATGTTTAATTAATTAATTAAACGGCAGATATCCATGAAACAGACACCTAGACTCATCGTGAATGCAGCTTATCAATTGGATGTATTCACTCTTCATGTTTATCAACATATTTTTTAGAAAAATATTTTTGCAAACTTTATACTTTCTATTAGTACAAAGTTCTAGAGATTGCAGAATTTTATTGAGATCAAGAGCCTTTCTAAATTAAATAACCATTAAAAAAGTTGAAAGGATTAGACGTCCGTTTCGTCCTAGGATGGGAATCTTCAGCATCCCACACCCACGACTTCTCAACTGGGAATCCAGCCCAGGACCTTCGGTTTATATGTTATTTCATTATATCTTTTTCCTGTTGTACTTATTTTTTTCACTTCAGTCATGAACTAGATAACTAATCCTTTCTTTTTCTATAAACCAAAACTATGTATTAGTTGTGCTGATATACTACACTTACGACCATTTCCTGAAAGTTGTGGATCAAGTAGTATTCGTCGACGTAGAGCCTCTCAATTTGGATCTGTATTACTAGCTTCTGTATTATCACCAAATCTAAATACTAATCATCATAAACATTCAATCACTAACAATGAGCAATCTCAAGATACTGTGGATGAACATCTAACCAAGGTGTCTTTTTTTGTGCTAAATATAGTACTATCTCATCGATTTCGAGTTGACTTCTTACTAGTCTGTAAAATCTCTCGTATTTTCATATATTGTGTTTATGCATGCAATAGCTTTGTTTATCATGATATAATAATGAAGAATTATTGAATAATAATGATTGTGTGATTGTTTTCATTTATCAATTTTCTAGTTAATAGTAATCATAACTCTTATCTTAACTCTTTGCATTCCTACTAATGGTCATTATTGCGGCAAACATAAATTGGTGCTTTATACTGGCATGTTAATAACATAGTACTATACTATAACCTTAATTATTTTGTCTCTAAATTATTTTACCTAGAGGATCTTTTTTTTTCTTTTCATGTTATGTTGAATAATCTAGGAAATTGTGAATAATTTTTTAACTTTTTTCAAAATTCTTTTATTCTTTGAATTTGTTTCGTTTTCTGTTTCTATGTGTGAAATTGATCCTAATTCTTTGTAGGTGTGCACGCATGCTTTCATTACCAGATGGTAATATTTTAAATCGTATTACTGGTTTAATTAATCGTTCTTCTGTGAGTTAATTTACTAATATAACATCGTTATATTTGTATAAATCATTCATAATGCATGTATGTTTATTTGTGTAAATCATTCATTCTCTTATTATTTTAACAGTAGATCATCTACTTGAATGTATCTATCATTTTATCGAGTAAATTGTTTTTTAACTATAACTTGTTTGTTCTATATTTATCTCGTTTACTTTAATAGATAGATCAAAAGGAGAGATCTTTTTTAAAATCTCTTTGGAATGTGAGTTTTATCGATTGACTTTAAAACATTGGATACCTTTTCTATTAGTGGGTTTTTTGTTGTTGTTTTTGTTTCTCAGTAAATTCATTGTCCTATCTACCAGTCAAGGTTATGCTCGAATGACTGTATCTGTACCATTTTTGTCGTATTTTTAATTCATATTGTTTGCTTTTTCATGTAATTTATGGTTATGGAGCAATGAATTAACTCTTTATTGATAATGAGAACTCATCAACATTCTACTATTAAAAACTAAGAAGAATTTAACCCGTTTGACACTAAATAACATGAATAGCATAAATCTAATGTAAATAAGCATATTTAGATCAACTAAGACACAAGTCACAAATTAAACGAAACAGAGCTCTGGATAAAACAGCATCCATAATAATGACGTCGAAGATGGGGCATATCCTAATATTAATACATGACCTTAACTGGTAAACGGGATAATACCAGTTTTACTTATAATGTCCCGATAAATAACAATCTTACCAAACTCGAATTCAATTAGCCAGTTATATGTGACGCAAGAACTGGCACACATACATGTACATCAGTTCAAGTTGCCCTACGCCACTAACACAGAGATGAAATTGTTAGGGCGAATTCCAGAAAAGTATTTATTTATTTAAACACAAACATTGGTACAAGGAGGCACCAAGTAAATATGCGCCACATAAATCATTCGATTTGTGTGAGGGCTGTGATACTCCAGGGTGCCCAGACCGAAGCAGGTGGTTTTCTTAGGAGGCCACACCCCGAGCCTTTAACCTAAAGGTCTGACCCACAAGGCAGTGGAGCATCGTGAGGAGATGCAGTCCCATGGTAGCCGGTGACCAATGATTGGTTCATACGCCATTTGTTCCCGCAAGATACTGAAGCCCATGTGCACCATTGGTTTGGAATCCGGTTAAAGCGCTGGACATTCGCTTTTCGTCCACTCAATTTCGTAAACAACAGTGATGCCACGAGAAGGCAGTGAGTAGGACTTCCCTGGCAGAGGCTGTATAAGCGTGGCCATGTGAGAGCATTCCGAGAGAGAGGGCTGGCCCACCCCACTCTCGGCCACAGCAGGGCATTTGAAGGCGATTCCAGAAAAGTACATGTAACAGTATTAGTGTTAATTAAAAAGATCCGACATCAAAGGTATTACTCTAGAAAATGTAAATTAGTGAAATAAAAAAGGAATTCAGAAGCTAATGATATGAGGTAAGATAAGCAATGCATGCACCTCCACCATTGCGAACTATTCTAAGGAGTGTCATTCAAAGCCTCTAGCAATTGTTTAGTATAATCACGTGGTAGTCTATACCTGCTTACATGACTCAGTTCAATGGTCACTGTCTTCATGAACTGACGCTACGTCTTGGTTTGGCCTCCCTTAGCTTTCTTCCTATCTACTCGTGCACCAGTCATCGTTGTGCGTTTAGGTAGTCGGTGGACGGGCATACGTAACACATGTCCCAAAAATCTTAGTCGATAAAGTTTCACTACCTCACCAACCGGTTTGTCGTTCTTGTGTAGTATGGTCCCAAAATGTACAAGCAGTACTTCAAAGCCACCTATGATCAAATACTAATAGCCTTTGAATACCCTTTATTTTTAAAGGCCACGTTTCACAGCCATTAAGTAGAACGGAGTGAGCTGTTACGCAGAAAACTCTTCATTTGGCTAACAGACGAATGTCTCGCCTACGCCATAAGTGATATAAATTGGTAAAGACCGACTGAACTCTCCGAATCGGTGCCAATTTTTCGTCAGACACCAACTAACCGGTGTTAATGAGACTTTCATGATATGTAAAGTCCACTTCATCTATGCATCATAAACTGACCAACTTTCGGTTTTGTTTAATTAGACCATAAACTTGCTCTCGATAAGTAGTGGAACATGACAAATATATGTATGTCAGTGTTGTAACATAAAACGCCCCCACTTCAATGCTGATCTTCATTTAGCTCACAAATAATATAAACTCTCTGCATTTTGAGGAGTCGATATAATCGAATACCGAAAGCCGCCGTACATTCTCAACTTTATATGTATAAAGTAAAAATGTATTTACTAAAGTGCTTTCCAATGAATATTTTGCTTTAGGACGAATGTCGTAATAGCAGTTAATTGATTAACGTATATACTACTGTAATTTTTGTGTTTCACATAATTTTCTCTACTAGATTATTTACAGTTGATTTGTAATTAAGATTTACAATTATTAACTCATATCTCTTTTTCTCCTTGCTTTGTATTCTAAGGATTTTAATAATGGACTGAATACTTTAACTAAACAACATCATCTTATTTCAATACCTGATCGAGAATTGAAAAATAGTTTAGAGCATCAATTAGTACGGGATCTAGTCGCTTTATATCGTGGTTTCTGGGAAAAATCAATGTCTATCGCATTCACAACAAATCGTGATAAATATATTAAATTGTCCGTTGAAGAATTTGAAATTCGAATACGACATTTGTTTAGTGGAACATCAACTAACAGTACACGTCAATAAAAAAAACTTCCTCTTTTTAAAATAAACGAAATAGTGATCTTCATACCGTTATTATCGTTGATTTTGTTACTTTAGTTGTTTCTTTATTTGAAAGAGAAAAAACTTAATTCCTTTGCAATGTTTTCTCCACAAAATATAAAACTGAATCCTCTGTTTTTCTTTTTCTTTTTTTGTTTTGTAATAAATAGTTTAAAAACTTACATTGATACCGTACAATAATTAAATGCTTAATCAAATACATGACGTTATTGTGCTTTTTTATGTTATATGTTTCTATAGCCTCCAAGTGCCCTGGTTCGGTCGAAAGTGGGGAGAGTCCGCTCTTTTTCTCGAAATGCTCTCACATGGTCACTGCTAGGGAAGTCCTACTCAATGCAGCGAGTGCGTTGTTTGCGAAATTGAGAGGACGAAAAGCGAATTTCCAGCGCTTTAACTGGGTTGGTGGACACGGAGAGTCCACCTAGGGGAGTTGGACAACCCTAATCCCAAACCAATAGTACACATGAGATCTAAGATCCTGAGGGATAAGTGGCGTTTGAACCTATTGTTGGTCACAGACTACCATGGGACTATATGTCCTAACGTTGCGCCACTGCCTTGTGGGTTAGACCTTTAAGTCAAAGGCTCCGGGTGTGGTTCCTAAGAAAACCACCTGCTTCAGTTCGGGTACTCGGGCAGTATCACAACCTTCACGCAAATCAATGGTAACTGATACCGGCCTCATTGTTATTGTGTGGCGCATATCTATTTGGTGCCCCTTGTACGAATATTTATGTTTTCAAGTAAAATAATAAAATAAACGTCTTTACAACTTGTATGCATGTGGATAACAAACTTATATTTTTAAGTCTAATGTATTTTTTTTTTACTTTATACTGGTATCGATCGTGTTTGAATTTTTTCTAATTACGTTTATGTCCTTGAAAAAGTACCTGAACAACATAATAATTTTCAGCAACTTTCATCTTATGTCCTACAGCGATAAGTTTTCCAAACTAATATTTTTTGCTATAGCCAGAGTCAAATATTCATTGACAGGTATAAAACGAACGAGTAGCAAAAATGAAAGAATTCATTAACAATACTCTATTTTTTGCAGTTCATATTTTCGAAAATATTCATTTTGGGCGTAATAGTTCTCCTTTCAATGTCATTACGAATTGATATCGTCTGGAAAAGCATTAAGAAATCAAGGAGCACTGAATTGTTGGGAATGAGTTTTGATCTAGCCTTTTGTAAGATGAAATTTTACTGCTTCCAATACTATTATACCATAATAGTATTTTCAACTTAAAGCTGTATAGATAGGTCTCCATACTTGGTGAATAGGTTACGTTATTATCAATCAAATTTGTTGTATTCTCCCTTAAAAACCATTGCCTTTTAGTAATACTACTTCATATCGAAACAGGTGTCGTGTACCATGAAATAATTATGATGTGATGGATATTTGTAGATCAACTTTGGAATAATTTAATCATGATGATTTCGAACAATTGTTCATTCTTCGGTCAATGAATGCATACAATACACCTATTTTTTCTTGTTTATTTCTCCAGGATTATGGATATATTTTCATGCTATAAAAAAGATGATATACCTTTTGTTCGGATTTCTGCTCCTATGGTTCGATATACAAAGTTAGTACATAATTTTCAATATTTCTTTCAATAATCAACGTTTTCATGATGTACATATTTATGAATCACTATATTTCATGAAATTAACATTCCCCATTGATCCTTTAACCTCCGTTTACCTCCATTAACAAAATTCGTTTCACCATAATTTAAATACACTAAATAGTTGTCTGTTTCTTCAAATAATAGTCAGTATAGTATATGAAATTCATAGAAAACTATTGTAATCAAATAAACTATCAATAGTTTTGAACATAGAAATAACACTCAATACGATAAAGCATTAGGCCTTCATAAACTGTCATTGTTGAGTATGTTTCTTTTTCTTTCTTTATTTATTTCAACACACAGATATTTGTTCCTTCAGAATACTGAAGCCCATGTGCACTATTGGTTTGGGATTAGGGTTGTTCAACTCCCCTAGGTGTACTCTCCATGTCCACCAACCCGGTTAAAGCGCCAGAAATTCACTTTTCGTCCTCTCAGTTTTGTAACAGTACCCCCTGCACGAGAAGGCAGATGCTATATACGCATGGCCGTGTGAGAGCGTTTCGATAGGGAGAGCTGACTCTCCCCACTCTCGACCGCACTAGGACACTTAGGGGCCCTTGTATAACAAATATAATTGCTAATGGTTTTATTCCAAAATTAGTATCATATATACCAGTGTGTGACAGAAAATATTTTCAAATGACCCATATCTCTTTTTGAAAAAAAGAAAACAAATTGTGAAAAAAATCTTCCGCAAGGCCACCGTGTTTTGAATAATTAGTTTTTTTCTACGAAGCAGATGTAGAGTACAGTAATCTTAACCAGTTGCTAATGTGTATATTCCTTATTAATTATCACATTGCAGTTCATTCTTCATTACTTTTCAATTTATCTCAGTATATTTTTTCATATGTGTATATACATTTATAGATTACCATTCCGTTTACTACTTCGAAAACATAACGTTGATTTAGTTCATACACCCATGATACTGGCTAATTCATTTATTCGATCAGAGAAAGCAAGAAATGTTGACTTTACAACTTGTTCAAGTAATTTAATGTTTATTCTATTTCATTTTTATTATCATCCTATTAGTTTCTATTATCGATATATTACATCATTTTGTTGTGCTAATGAGATATGGCAACTTGGACCGATGCATATATGTGCCTGGTCCTACGTTGTAGCTGACTGACCGACTGATTAAATCACTATCAAATATTATTTTCTGATTTATACCATAATCTTGTAGTGGCTGGCACTATGTCAAAGTCTCATAGCTTATTCTAGTTTTCATACAAACCAAATTACTCGTTCTCTATGCTCGTCACATTATGACCTTGTCAATTAATTTGCTTATTAACCTTGACTGTTTTTATTTGAGTGTGTGTATATATATTTCTTATCTGACTCATCATGTATCTGTAACTTAGTTTTGTTCGACTATAAACATCGATTAACGCTTAATTAAATCGAGTTGGTTTACATGCCTTCTCCACTGCACATCATTTCACTTCGCTTCATTTCTTCAATCATTTGTCTTGATTAACGATTCTCGTATTTGACTTATTTAATTCCTTTATTTACTAACATGTGATATAAGTCGATGATTATTATACGAGAACTGGTGAAATGTGTATTTCGATAACGACAATCAACATACGATCAAATTGGAATCAGATAACGGACTACTAAAATCTCATTTATAATAAATGAATTAATAACTTCCAGAAATTTCCGTTTAAATTTAAACAAATAGTCTCATAATAATTAAGCGCTAAATTAATGTAAAACATTAAAGAGAAGAGAATTATATTTGTAAAAAGTTCAACCATTTAACTCGAAGTAAATTCATTATTTCTTTCAGTAATCGAATCCAACCTTTTTCAAAGAAATATAACCAAACATTATATATATAGAATTAATAACTGGTTTCATTAATAAACAGTTCATTTACGGAATATTGTTTAAAAATTAAATCCCTTTAAAAATAAAGCATTATAACTATCTGTACAATTAGTGTATTTCACTAGAAAACAATTTTTATAAACTTATTCAAGTTAACCAATACTTTCGATTAACTCCAATAGAACATCATTCTACCGTCATCACCCCCATCCACCAAAAAAAAACCTCAGTCTATATTATTGACTGTGATCACTAAGATATCATTTGATTGATTCATTGTTTAATATTAACTATCAAATCATTCTTTATGCAAATCATCTAACGAAAACTTTCTTTATGTAAAGCACATGTAAAGTAATCGTTAGCTCAATAAATATCATTGAGTTATATTCTGAGTGAATCATATTTTATCTGATCCATATGTAAATAGTCAGCTAATCTAGTGGTTGTGTTTTATTTACATCAGATTTCACGAGAACATTATCAATTCTATCATTTCGATCATTTCAGTCAGTCAGCTACAACGTAGGACCAGGCACATATATGCATTGGTCCAAGTTGCCATGCCGCATTAGCACAGCAAGATGAACACTGGATTCACAGAAGTAGATAATCCAATGATGGTAATATATAAAAGAAAGATTGCATATAAGGATATAGTTAGTAGTTCGTAGAAACATATGAAGCGATTTTAATCTCATAGTTTAAGAGAAGACAAAAAGTGTATACACCTACGCCATTGTGATTGATCCTGATCCATGTCAATCAGTCTCCAAGCATTGGTTACAATAGTCGCGTGGACCCCAACTAATTAGTTTGCATCTACCAACATGGCTCAGACTAGAAGTTAGTGACTTCAAGCACTGATGCCACGTTTTGTTTTGGCCGCCTGTAACTTTCTCCAACCATCCCCAACACTAGTCAGAATTGCGCGTCGTGATAATCGGTGTTCAGGCATACGTAACACGTGGCCCAACCATCTCAGTCGACGGAGATTTACAACCTTATCAACTGATTTACCATCATTCCCTGATACTCTGTGTATAATTTCACTATTACTTACCCGGTGATCCCAGCAATATTTCCGAGGCATCTGTGGTCAAATACTAGTAGCTTACGGGTGTCTTCTACTCTTAATGGCCATGTTTCGCATCCGTAAAGTAGAACGGAAAGGACTGCCGCGCAGTACACTCGTCTTTTTATTGATAGACGGATATCTCGCCTTCGCCATAGCTGGCAAAAGCCAAACGAGCTTTTCCAATCCGTACTGAAATTTGTTCAGACACCAACCCATTTGAGGTGATCAGACTTCCAGGATAAGTGAAGCTGTCGACGCGTTCGACTACTTCACTCCCTATCCTTAGTTCAGGTGTTGACGCAAACCAGTCCTGAAGCAGCAACTTGCATTTATAGGGATCATTTCAGTTATTTTACAAATTATCATTATAACGTTAAATTACCGATTATGTATAATAAGATATCATCTAGTTTTTATTCATCTTGTTAATATATTTAAGATGGATAACTTGTAAGTAATTCATTTGTATTAGTTATTTGAATGTTTCCATTGTTGTTGAGAACTGAAATTGATCAACCTGTTTTGTAAGATCATTGTTATATTTTCTAAGTCATTAACAATAAATTCATAAACTTCGTGAGTATAATCTTGTTTGCATTTAATGGATCATTGAAATTTATACCTTTTTCAAACCTTCAACTAAAGAATATTAAAAGAGCCATTTATAACTAACTAAATGATTGTTATTTTAAATCAATAAAACAACATGAAGATAATTCATGCATTGATTAGACATCCTTTGTTTATACTTCTCGACTACGTCTATCTGCTCACCATCCAGGGTGAGTACAGGATTGGAATCCTGCCAGTCTTGTAGAAGCACCTTCGAAGTGCAAAGTACTTCTACAAGACTGGCAGGATTCCAATCCTGTACTCACCCTGGATGGTGAGCAGATAGACGTAGTCGAGAAGTTCGTGTATCGGGGTAGCTGCATAAGTGCTGGTGGGGTGTGAGTGATGAGATCAATGCACGAATAGTGAAAGCCAGAGCGGCTTATGCCAATCTGGGCCACCTTTGTCGCCTTCGTGATGTTAGTCTGGCTGTAAAAGGTCGGATCTACAACGCGTCGGTGAGAGCACTTTTGCTCTATGCTTGTGAAACCCGGCCTCTCCGAGTTGAGGATGTTAGACGACTCTCTGTGTTCGATCATCGCTGTCTCCGAAGGATTGCTGACATTCAGTGGCAACACCATGTCAGTAATGCAGAGGTTCGGCATCGTGTGTTCGGGCACAGAGATGATAATTCAATTGGTGTCACCATCTTGAAACGCCGACTTCGGTGGCTTGGACATGTTCTCCGAATGTCGTCCCAGAGAATTCCACGTCGTGCATTATTTGTCGCCTCTGGGACTGGTTGGAAGAAGCGGAGAGGTGGTCAGTGCATGACATGGTATCGTGGCATGAAAGAAAGCTGCAAAGGACTGGCTTGTGTTGGTCCTTCACGACTCCCTGGTTGGGGTCTGAGAGATGGTGCAACACAGTGGCTAGAGATGTTATCAGATATGGCTCAGAATAGAAGCCAGTGGCGATCCTGCTGTAATCTTCTTTTACTTTTTTCATAAAAAGTGGTTGTGTCTCCCTTACCTGAAAGATTTCTTCCGATTGTACCTTTGCGTCCCCTCATTACTACCACACTACCTTACACCAATCTCTTCGTTGTTGTTCTCTTTTTTTTTCTATTTCTCTTCGAATTCGCATTGTTTTGTGTGGCGCATATATATTTGGCGCTCGCTTGTACCAATATTTATGTGTTCAAATAAATAAATAAAATAAATAAATAGTTCAGTAAATAACACATTGTTGTTTAAAGTGAACGATAATCGGTTCAAGTCTCAATGTGAATATTACTACTAGAAAGCAGGTGCATTCAATATCAGATAAAACGAAATACAAGTCATGAATTCCACTCCTAGTCACATTCAAAATATACCCAAAAACGTTTTGTATTTTTGTTGCTATAATTAAGAATCTAATCAATGTAGATTGAATTTTTTCACATTTTCGTCGCTACTTCTCTCTGATATTTGTCTACCGTTTTTTTCCCTTTATCTCTTATTCGATCTAAATTCAACGTCACTGAAAATGTTGTTAATCGTATTGTAGATACTTTCTAATTGATTCCTTTTCCTGGTAATAAATGTTTCAGTAGTATAACAGATCTCAAATTTTGATATGATGACTAATAAAACGACAGTCACTCTATGGTCTTTATGGTATCAATTAGACCATGATTGGAATTTCTTTTCCGTCTGTACAACTCCATTCAATTTGAATCATGCTTTTGTTGTAGGAATCTACATACTCTTGTAAAGTTTAGTATTGGAAAAATTGTATGATTGCCCAGGAGAATAAATATATAATATCATCTTTCAGTCTTTTCCAATCATTTAAAGCGAGTACTTATTTATTTAAACATATAAACGTTGGTACGGAGGGACACTAAAATATATATGCGCCACACAAAGTAATTGTTATTTAGTTTGTGTGTGAGCTGTGATACTGGCCGGGTGCACAAACCGAAACAGGTGGTTTTGTTAAGGGTCACTCCCTAGACCTTTGACCCAGAGGTCTAATCCACAAGGCAGTGGAGTAACATTAGGAGATGCATTCCTATGGTAGCCGATTACCAAGAATGAGTCCATATGCCTTTTGTTTCCGCAGGATCCTAGAGCCCATGTCCACCATTGGTTTGGAATCAGATAGCATCCTCCGTACCCACCCGGTTTAAGCACCAGACGTTTGCTTTTCGTCCTCTCGATTTCGTAAGCAACATCCCCGCCGCGAAAATACAACAAGTTGAACGTCCCTGGCAGTGACTTTATACGCGTGAGCATATGAAAGCATTTCGAGAGAGAGAGGGTTTATTTCAGTTCTATGCGTTTTTATTCTCATCATTCTTATATTGGACATTCTCTTCCCTTAAATAAGTTTAAAATCTTGTCACAGATTGACTGTCTAAGCTATTAATTACAGCTTGTCGTATTTTTTTTTCATTTCTAACAATTTACTCTCATGATGTTGACTCTTTCGCTGTTTTCAAATGATTGAAATTGAAAACAATTTCGTCTCACGGGCAACCTCTGAAATCCCTTATTTTTCTTTTCTTCTCGTTGTTGTATCTATTTAAGATGACCGACCGTTGATTGTACAACTTGCGTCAAATGATCCATGTGAATTTGCTATAGCCACGGAAATGCTTGCACCATATTGTGATGGAATTGACTTAAATTGTGGTTGTCCTCAACCGTAAGTTAATTTCCACTTATTTCCACCCTCCCCCATATTTAAATGTACTACTTAGGTTTGTTCATATTAAAAATATTTCCTCATAGTCGTATGCTGTTGATCCAGGTCAAGTTAGACACAGGCTACTTAGTGAAAATAGCAAATCAGTTGATAAGGCAGTTAATATTTGTCAACTAAAGTAGTTGAGATATGTATTACATATGTCTAACCACCGGCAACATCGATGTCTTAAATGTAGGTAGCACAGTAATTGAATACATTGACTACTTCACTTATCTTGGCATTCTCATCAGTCCTGATGGTTTGATGTCCGACGAAATCTCGGCGCACATTCACAAGACTCTAATGGCTTTTGCCAACCTGCGTCACTTGTGGCGTAGACGAGATATCCATCTTCCAATCAAAAAGCGAGTTTACTGCGCAGCGATTCGCTCCGTTCTACTTTATGAACGTGAAACATGGCCATTAAAAACAGAGGATATTCATGGATTACTAATATTCGGTCATAGTTGTCCACAAAGCATTGCTCATGTATTTTTGGACCAATGAGTAAGCAAAGCCTGGGTTAGAAATAAGGTGCTAGGTGAGGGTGGGAAATTAATTGATGATTTAGTAAATCTTCATCATCTGAGGTGGCTTGGACATGTATTACGTATGCTTAACCACCGCCTACCTCGATAGGCGATGTTGTGTGGTGTGGGAGTAGGCTGGAAGAAAGATAGGGACGCCAAACCGATATATGGCATTAGTCCATGAAATCATTGACAAGTACCCTTCCTCCCACCTGGAAGCTGTGAGTGACCGCCCGATACTCGTTCGTAGGTTTATTTGTCTTGCTGGGCGGCAACATATTGTGAAACACTGTCCGAATTTTTCTTCTGAACATACACTCAGCTGGTAACTTTCCTTCTGGCACTGCTGGATCGGGGGTAACTCTGTCGGACATTAAGAATTTGCCGATCACTTTTTCTGGAATAACCTCTCCCCTTCCTTTGGCCAGAGTTATTTTTATCGTATTCACAAATCTTTCTGCTTGGTCACTCGATTGAGGATGGTACGGAGGAGACTGTAGATGCGTTATACCATTTTCGCTGCAAACTTCTTAAATGCAGATGACATAAACTGAGTGCCGTTGTCAGTTACCAAGATCTCTGGAACCCCGAAATAAGAAAACAATCCTGATAATTTTCTTATTGTACTCTCTGACGTCGTATTCGACATGTCATATACTTTCGACCATTTGGTGAGAACATCTGCAGCAAACAAGTAGTTTCTACCCTGTATTGGACCGGAAAAAATTAGCATGTATTCTTTGTCAAGGTGCGTCCGGTCTTGGCCATGGTCGTGGCTCGGCTTTAGTGGGATTCTTTGCGGCCTCTTAATAGAACCAACAACTGGAAATGATGACTGGGTGCAACATGCTAACATGGTAAATCGCAAATGTGAGCGTTTTAAATTATCAGCAATGACAGAAGATCAGTTCAAGTGTCTTGTTTTTGTATTCAGCTTGCGGTCGTCTGAAGATGACGTCATCTGAACTAGAATTCTGAGTAAAATTGAAGTGTCCAAATATAACGCTACAAGAAGTGATTATTGAATGTCAGAGGTTGGTAAACTTAAAACATGACACTTCTATGGTTGAAAACAGTGGCCGGCTACCATACGTACAGGTAATAAATGGCCAAGAAGATTCTTTTGTACGTAAGCAGAACAGCTCAAACAAACAGCTCCCATCCTCGTACTGGTTATGCGGTGAGTGGCACTAAAAAACGTTTTGCCCATATAAGGACTATGGTTACACTAGATGTCAACATAAAGAATCTTGCTGTAAAAAGATGTATCGTCGTTCATTGTGATTTCATTCCAGGAGACATAAACCTTATTCACCAACCAGAAAAATAATGGTAACACGTACATCGAGGTTGACGGTCACCGTACCCACCTGCGGCTCGACACTGCTTCCAACATCACATTCATTAACCGAAGAACCTAGAAGCATATTGGAAAACCTCAGGTGGTCCCAACAACTCAGTTAGCCCATAGTGCATCTGGAGGGAAATTCAATATTGTTGAAGAAAGCCTAATCCAGCAAACGTTGAGGCTATGAAGACCATGCCTCCATCGACAGATGTATCTATTTTACGTTAAGATTAAATGTTTAGAATATGGTTTGGGAACACGGGATAAAAAGTTATGCATGAAGGAATACTGAAACTAAAGAAATAGCGGTGGACAAATAATAGAAGTTAGTAAAATTTTGTTGAATGAACACAGATTCAATCTGTTTATTAAGGTCGACTATCTTACAGAGCATATAATCCACTATTTGTTTAATTGATTCATCTCTCTTAGTATTGACAAATATTTTATCACTGAATTGAATAAATTATACAGTAGAGAAAATAATTAAATTGTGTCAGAAATTAATTACATATAATTGACTTACAGCATAAAAATATGAATCAATTGAATATGAACTGTTGACTTTCGAACCAGATTCAACTAGGTAATCCATTAAAATCCGTCGAAATCTTTGCCCTTGAAAATATGTTCCTGTGACTACTAAGTGATCGATTAATAATAATTCATTTTATGTAGCTTAATTTTTTGAACCAAGTTACTGCCATGATCCATTTCATTTGATATTAAATGGCTATATACGGTCAGTAAAAATTCATGTCAATCGGTAAGCTAGAAGCTTTATCTCTGGGGCCTAAATTCTGTGATAGTAGGCATAGAATCAACTAATTAGATACTGATGTACAATTTGAGAATTTATTTTCACAAACAACTGACTTGATTCCTACCTCATTGGAGGATCTTGCTCGGTTTAAAACCACATTAGTTGATAGCTGCCAACAGTACAAGAATAGTAAGGGTACCACATATCACCTACTAAGCAAGCAGCACCGAGACTCTCTAACGAAACTAAGAAAAAACGAAACCCTAACCATAACCAAACCAGATAAGGGAGGAGGTATAGTTCTCATGAACAAAAATGATTACATGGGAACAATGCTTAGCGATCCTAGCAAATGTCAGAAAATTACTATTAATTGTGACATCAATAATAAAGTAGAAAGACAATTGGCCAATTTCCTTAAAGATCTAAAGAAAAAGGGAATAATTACGACCGAGATTCACGATTCAATTAAGCCGACTGGATCATTTATACCACGACTGTATGGTTTGCCTAAAGTACATAAATCGGGTCTTCCTCTACGCCCAGTTCTAGATATGTACAATTCTCCTTATCACAAAATTGCAAAGTAGCTAGTACGAATCTTAGAACCTTTACACAAAGCAGTTGTTAGAAATGGTGTAAAAGATGTCTTCAACTGCACCTCCAAAGTGGAAAATATTAATGTTAGTATGAAGAATATGATCTCATTGGATGTAGGATCTTTGTTCACCAACGTATCACTTATAGAGACTATTGAGTTTATATGCAAGCAAATATCAGAGAAACAAATCAATATTGACTTGCCTAACGATAGTCTAAAGGAACTGCTGCTAAGATGCACGCTGAATGTACATTTTGTCTTCAACGATACTTATTATAGACAGATAGACGGGATAGTCATGGGCTCGCCTCTAGGCCCGATTTTAGCTGATCTCTTCCTATCAAAGCTAGAAAATGGACCTCTCAATGAGACTATTGAGAAACTTGATTTATATTGCCGCTACATTGACGACACCTTCATTATCGTAGATCAAAACATCAGTAAGGAGGAACTCCTAGACCAATTCAACAGTGTTCACCCAGCGATCACTTTCACTGGTGAAAGCGAGCATGATAAGAAGCTGAACTTCCTTGACGTCACACTAAGCAGACGAAGTGACGGCACATTAAGTAGAAGCGTGTATAGAAGAAACCCCTCTTCATGCCAATATACTCACTTCTGCAGTTTCACACCTATTCGTTATGAGAGAAATTTGGTCAGATGTCTCACTAGCAGAGCAAAACAGATCTGTACAGTAGATACTCTAAGTCAGGAGCTTGAATTTATCAACAATTCACTGACCGAGATCGGCTACCCCAGTGCTTTCATTAAGAAGTACATGTATGACATAATAAAGAAGTCGGAGATTTCGACTGTTCGTAAGAAACCTTTATACATGAAAGTGCAATTCAACGGGGATGTGGCAAGTGACACTCGGAAATATAGGTTAACTAAAGTAATCACCAGGACATTCTACGCAGCCAATCTTGCGTTGACCTTCTCTTATCGACTAGCGATGTCTACTCAAACGAAGGATAAGTTACCTGAGTTGACCTCTTCTATGTGCATTTACAAATTCAGCTGCTCCTGTGGAGATAGCTATATAGAGCGTAGTACCAGGCAACTTAGCCAACGAATGATTGAACATCTACCAACTTGGTACATAAAGTGCCAGATAAAATCTATTCGCAGTTCTATCTTGGCACATCTCTTTGATAGTGGTCATGCTGTAGCTAAATCGAAATCATTTCGAGTTATTTATCGTATGCCTCTATCATTTCCCGACGGAGTTCTTTCCCGCCTCCTACATATAGCTGAAGCCATTGGAATTCGTACATATAACCCCAATTTATGTGTACAGAAGAAATATGTAACCCCCCTATCCCTTCAATGGCCAGTTATAACTTAACTAACGATATGTTTTTTTAAAAATTTTATTATTATCATTATTTATTTTATTCTATTTTGTTATCATTAACCTTATTTCCACATCCAATATTTGTTTGTAATTTTCCGCCTCTTTGTATTCTTCACTATCTAATTATTTACACACATCTTATTACGTATTGATTTTAATGTTTTGTGTTGACTATTCCAAGTCTATTTACTCACGTTTGACCTTCTATTTCCAATGTTTAACTATTGTCAGAATGGGTTTTGTGGAGAGTTTTAGAAATTTCACAGGTTGAAATCATGAGTCAGTTGAAGCTAGACCACCATTGAAAACCTGGAAGCACTGGACGGCCGTTTCGTCCTGGTATGGGACTCCTCAGCAGTGCGCATCCACAACTTTTGTTATCGTATTTTATTATTCTTACTATTATCAGTTCACTTGTCTTCCTACTATCAACTTGTACTTTTACCTATTATGTGTAGAGACTTATTCTATTTCATTGTGATTATTGACCCATGTTGCCTTGATTGGTTTACATTTTCGTATAAATATTCATGTATATTAGAGTAAAGCCTGATGACGATCTAATTGAAAACAATTGTTCGCTTATATGTGTTGTTCGAATCGGTATGCCGCCAGCTCCGGTTTTTTAATCTAGATTGCTACTGCTTCTGCCGTTTGAAAGACTTAGAATCTGACAAACTTTGAGAAAAATTACTGACTCGTTAAGTAATTGAGAAAGATTGGCTTATACTGGCACTATGACCAATTTGCACTAAATGGACTAATATCGAGTTGTTCAGTTTCTTCACTAAACTTTGATGATGCTGGGTCCATGGAACTCGCAACCTATACGTGCTTTTTGGACAGAATCAGAGAAACTCCCTGAGTGTGCGAAGCATTTTCTTCTTCGTGACCCAGAGTACAGCAGTACCTCTCCCAAATCTAATCTTTTCTGTCCAGTCTGCATCCATTGGACTTCACTTATTCCGATAACCGCCAACTTGTATCTCCTCATTTCCACACCTATTTGATTAGTCCGGTCTGTCATACTGTCCGTACATTCCACATACACATATTCATTGTTGCTCTGGTTGCTAGAAGGGGCATTGAACTGGTGACTTCCACAGATTCTCGGCTTTCACCACGAGGCATCACAATTATTGTGAATGAAGATCCTTCAACTCGGAGAACAGAGTTCAAATGATTTAAATTGTTTATTCTGGTTAGCGTTTTTTTAGCAAGGTTGTTTTCTACGAAATATGGTTGGTAACCCTATACCTAACGCTCCTCTTTTATCCGGGTTTGTGACCGGCAGTAACCCTAGAAAAGCTGCATGCGGATGTTTTAAACGATGTACTTGTCTTAAGTCTGATCACTTTGTATTATTAATTTAGATATATAATTGTAGAATCTGAACAGAATCTATTGAAAAGAATATTCTTCCTTCATGTATTAGTGTTTGAATACAAAATTAGTTAAGTATCTTGAACTAATTTTTTCATGCTATCATTATCATTTCCTATTCTAGCTGGGCGATAGGTAGTGGATTAGGATCAGCCCTATTAAAAGAACCTGAAAAAGTTGCCAATATTGTACATGCCGCTCGAAATACGATTCCGCGATGGCGTAATTCTCACATGGAAAGTTGTAAAATGTTAGACTATTTAGAGGATTCAAATAAAAATAACAAAGCAGAAAATAAATTTAGGTCTATAACACGATCTCATGGTCCATTCTCAATTTCTGCTAAAATTCGTATACCAACTACAAGTGATAGATCTGTTGGAGAAGGAAGTTCATGCGATCCAGTTAGTGATAAAACATTTTCATACGTTTTTTAACATTTATTTGTGCTCTAGATATAACTTAATTATTGACCTGTCTTTTTTCAGATAGTCTATTTCGTTCATCCGGTAGTAATATAGTTATATGTACTTTGGTGAAGGAATACTAATAGCGTAATCAAGGCTATACACTTAAAAAAAAGAAAATCTCACACAGTACCATTTTAATGTTCATCGAGAAAATTTCACTAGTTTTTATAAAATTACTAAGACAGAATATATAATCTGTGAAAATTAAGGCCATAACTCAAGCGGTGGATACATCAACTATTAACTCATCACCTAACAGGTAACAGAACTACTCATCAATACCATAATGATGTATTTAAACTATTGAAGTGAACGAAGACTTAGTGGAGGAAACCTTCACTTTCACCTGTTAAATTTAATCGTTCAATATAAATTAATGGAATATAGACCTAATAACTTAATAACAATATATACCTCAAAATTTTACTAGTTTACTCAATAATTCAGAAATTAGGGGTATATTCAGCTTTTATATTGACAATCCCAAAGGTATTCTTTATATATTTCGGTTTGGATAAGACGGAAGTTGCAACAGTTAGAATCGCTAGTATTCATAGAAAAAGTGTAATGCATTAAATTGTCCTTCATTATTAAGTTTATTATATACTTTACGAAATTAGGCTAACTATTGAGTCAATAAAAAAGATAAGCTTAATTCTTTTTGTATTTACTATATTCATATAGAAAAACTCTCCTGTTTCGTTTGTAAATATCAGGAAATCTATCTTGCATTATTCGGTTTACCCGATTAACCTAGTCGTCCAACCAAACTACATCAAATCTTTTCAGAACAACATGTTTTATGACTAACAGTACACATTTTTTATATTATTTAAAACCGACTCTTTAGATGTCTGCTTTCAAATGTATGTTGATGATTTCATTGAAATTAGCTCGAAAATTATCTGCTCTAACCTAAATATAGCTACGGAATCTCAACAGTTAATGATTGTATCCTCATATCATACTAAAAATATCAGAAAGCAACTTGCTTAAATCGATGAGGAAATCACTGTCGCCATATCTTATGAAATTACTCTGAGATAACTGATATTTTATTTAGAAATCCTGATTGTAGTAGTTTCAAGTCGAAAAATACTTATCTTTATCAATATATATTTCCTAAACTTCCGTAGTACTTAGACAAAATCTTATTTTATATCGTTAATAATATCATTCCTATTGTACATTTCCTTTTTTCGATAAGCAAATAACTAGAAATACTAAATGGGAGTTAATAAAGCTCTTTTTTGTCAATCGATTTTATATGCTGGTTTTTTGTAGTTATCGGATTGAAAGACTGTATCAAGTGTAAATTAATTATAGATATTATTCCTAATTATTTTTTGTATCCAAATATGAATAAATGTTTCTAATACATCCTAGTAATATGTACTACCTCTTCTTTAGTAGAAAAGAACGTCCTTAATGTGTTTAGTATCGTGTGTTAAATAATCTATGTAACTAAAATATACATTTTTTATAGATCAAACTTACCGTTGAACTTGTCCGACGTTTATCTGTAATGGGTGTTGACTGGGTTACACTACATGCAAGAACACCTCAACAACGTAGCAGGGACTGTGCTTCATGGAATGTGGTTCAAGAATTGGTCGACTGTAAAATTAAACATTCTTCCTTGGGTACTGATATTCCAATAATACTGAATGGTGATGTCCGTGTACTGAACGATGCATATTGTGCTCAGAAAATGACCGGTTGTCATGGTGAGTCCTTAACTGGAAATGTGATATGTAAGAAAATGTTACCATACTACTTTTCCTTATAACAAGGTGATAACAACTGATCCTCTATAATTCTTCACACATACTTTATGAACCAATTTTCAGATAGCTTCGCCGACCTAAGTAATTTTTACTACCGGGATTCTTAAATTTATCCCAAGTCGAAGCACCACTGATAGATCATTTAGGAATTAGTCTTTGGAACATTTTTCTCATACACTGAAGCTTCTCGACTTAATCACCAAATTTTGACCGATGTATTTTAACCACATAAAGAATGAGACAATCGTCACTGATGTTTCACATGGTTCTGGACGAAATAGAAGCATTCACTTAACTATTTTCTTCACATAGTGGCAGTGGATCACCGATTCCTCCACGTAAGTACCTAGGTATGTTAACAACAAAAGAGGAAAAGGAAAAAATTAGCGAATCATAGTAAGATACTGTTTCAGTCCTTAAGAACATGTCAAGTTTCCTCTTAAAAGACTCCTGGGATGTCACTTGGACTAGCTCAGCCGGCAGCGAATTTCAACATTTGACTGCTCTTAAGGAGTAGACGGTGTGTATACAGTCCATTCTGCTGTTTTGTGTCTCTAGTTTCTGGGTGTTACCCTTAAGCTTTGTGTTGGGAATAGGCTTAGGTTGGTGTTTAAGGGGATGCCTAAAAATATTAAAGATGCTGTAAGTCGTTAGAAGGTCACCTCTAAGACTCCTGCACTCTGATGAGCAAAGGTTTGGTGACTGAAGGCGCTTTGGATTTGAGTCCCCGGACTGATTTCGTGGCTCGCCGTTGGGTACGTTCCAGTATACTTATCATTTTGGAGTGAGGAACGAAATACTGTTTCCGTACTCTAAACGGGGTCGTATAAAACTGTTGAAGATAATGTGGAAAGTTCTTCCGTCGAACTGGTTGAAAATGCGCTTCTACGTTACTAGTGCAAGGTTTGCTCGAAAGATATTTTTGTCGTAGTTAGCGTATGACTTCAGATCGTAGGATAAAAACACTCCGAGTTCTTTCTGAACTTAAGATAACCCTAGAGGGGAGTTACCTAAGTTGTATTTGTAGTCCGAAACATGTCTCAGATAGACTACTTTACACTTTGAAGTGTTAAAGGTAAGTTGTCATCTGCCCAACTATGAATTCGAGTCAGAACCTCCTGAAGTGCCAGATTATCCTCTTGTTGCATACTTCCCATCAGAGTTCCGCATCATCAGCGAAAAGTAGTGAATCAGACGACACCTGCTGTGGAAGACCGTTTGTATAAGTCAAGAAAAGAATAGGTCCTAGTACTGAACCTTGGAGGACTCCACTGGGAAGTTCCATAGCCTGAGAGAAAGTGAAGTTAACCCTGGCCCGACTTTTTAGATATGAAGTGAGTCAATCAACTAAAGGTGATCTGATACCCAATCGTTTGAGCTTATTGATAAGACATATATGGTCGACCCTATTAAAAGATTTTGAGAAATCAAGGTATACGACATCAACCTTCCCCTTGTAATTATGGATATTTGTCCATCTGTCCGCCGTGGTCAGCAGGTTGGTTATACAAGAGTGACCTTTCCTAAAACCGTGCTGTTGGGGTGGAAATAAGTTTATGGGTAGTAAGTAGTCGTGTAAATCGTCACATATCAAAGACTCTGTAATTTTTGAGGATATAGAGAGAAGTGCTATCGGCCGGTACCTCGAAGATTCGCTGCATCGACCTCCGTTGAAAATTGGTGTTATGTGAGCCAGCTTCCAATTTCCTGGTGATGTGCTTCGGTTTAGAGAATGTGAGAACATCACAATAAACAGTGTTGTCAAGATTGAAGCTGTTCTCCTCAGCATAATGGACCATATAAGGGCCAGGAGAAGTGTCTCTTTTTAGATGCTGCAGTTTTCGGTACATCAAATCGGCGTTCAGGTTCACTTCTGAGTCCCGTTGAGTTGTATGTGAAGCTCTCATCAATATAGTTAGTATAGGTTGGTTGAAATGTCCGAAAGTACCGCTCTATGAGAAGGTCGGCGGTGTCACTGCCGTTTTTGGTTGAGTCATTATAACTTAGCAGTTGGGAAACTCCGGTTTCGGCTTGCCGAAGAAAGGCTGCATGACAAAATAAACTTTTCAGATTGGAGACAGATTTGTCGATAAGCTTTATCTGATACCAAAGCCTGTCTTCTCTTATTGCTTTTGTCCATATGTTCCTTGCTTATTTGAATTGCTTGTATGCACAGTTGGTCCCAGTTCGTTTGTATTGTTGTATGGGTCACATAAGTAGTATATAACGGTGGTCAGGCATAGGATGTATGTATTTCAGTGGAAGATCGAGAGGGAAAGAACGGGAACGGAACGCAATCGGTATGAAAATGCATGAACAATCAAATCTGAGACAATGGACTGATATTTGAAAAAGGAACAGTCAAGTTTAAGACGATGGATTGATATTTTGCAAATTAACTATTTACTATATGGTTCTCAGATTTTAATGAGATGCTCTGTAATTTCGTGTCGAATGCATTAGATTGTCCCCACTCGTGTTCTTGTTCACTACAATATTCCACCCAGTAGGGCCTTTTCGACTTAGCAATCGAAGAGTGCGGTTCTTGATTACTGTAGGTTGCTTGTAGATTTCGGGGACCAGCTAGACACCTCGAGGTGTTAGACAATTTTACTGAACATCATACAGATTCGTCAAGATTGATAGACCCTTAGTTGTGCGCTTGATCTACTTTCAAGCAAGATCACAGGTGAAAGGCTACTCCATCCCCAATGCTGTTTTTCTGTCGTTGCGTAACAAAGAAATCCAGAGTATTGCTAGCTCATGGTTTGTAATTTGAGATGATATCCATGTTTCAGATATTCCTTCCAGTTGAGTATTGTTAGTATTACTGAGTTCGCGCATTTCATCCATTTTATTCGGTAAACTCCTGGCGTTCATATATAAGCAGTTTGTACTTTCAATTGAAAACGCGTGAGCTTCCCCGTCCTGTTTATCTGTATGAATCTTATGTGAATAAACAGGTAACCTATCTACACATGGTTTTCCGAGTTGGTAGCCACTGTCCTTTCTTTGTTCTTTTTCATGATCTTGATAGCCCACAAGCGGAATAGTCAGCTTGAGTTGGCTTTTGTACTTGATCCTGGCATCATTTGGCCTATCCGGATGTATATGGATTTCAGTTGGCGACCAGCGTCCGTTGGCACGAAATGCTTCGTAAGTTGTAGCCGCTATATGGGGAGATGGAGAGGTTATTTTCATCAGCCGAAGTCTAAAATCCCCGTCCAACTGTCGAGTAAATATCTTTATGAGCTTCAAGGATGAATTTGGAATCCCGAATATCGGAGTCTGAGAAGGCAGGGTTCACGTTTTCTGGCACACCTTGCACAATGTTATTTCTTCTGCGGGAAAACATCGCGCAAGACTCCTCAGGAATGTTCCTGACGTTATTGCGCTCAGAATACACTATGTCAGGCAGTATTCTTACATTCCCATCTGAGTCCAGTAAGTGACTAGCTAGCAGAACATCCTCTACGTCGGCTGTGTCATTGAGCGTTACACGAAGGAGTCCTTCCGTGTAACCGTCAGAGGCTCTATTTTAGGAAGTTTGAGCTTCCTTTTTAGCTCTTCCCAAAGCATTTTGTCCTCATTTTCCTGAAGACTAAGAGGAAGGTCAGAGCTTCTTTTAGGTTTATGATTATGAGAGAATCATCGCGAACCGTGATCATTTTCACAGGTTTTCGGGTGCGTTCAGGTTGGGGACCTTTCTACTTGGTAGTTGAAATGCGTTTCGGATTCCCGTGCTCTTTGATGACTGGTTGGATAATCTTAGGGGGAGATTGTACAGCCAAATCACCAGTTGGCTTCACTACAAAACCTGGAATGCTCTACTTTTTAGATGGTGACACTCGATCTTTTTTAAATTTGTTGACGGGGTTCCAATGGTCTACAGAGTTTTTGGGGGGCCACCGTTGGATTTAGGGAGGTACGAGTTTGCTGAGAGAGTCAAGTACTGTCAATGTTATGATGTTGCTAAGCTTCAGGATATCGTCATCAGTGTCGATACATGTTCTGTCGATATTGACGTTGTCGAGGTCCCTCTTCTTTTCCTCACTACGCGTCTTTGTTTACCCGTTTTAGGACTACGTATTTTCAGGTTTGCTGACGTTTTTGGTAGACCTTTCAAGAGAATGATGATGTTGCCTAGCAAATCCTCAGCATTCATGTTGCACGTACCACATACCCACCTACGACTCGATTTACTAAGTCTGTGAGATCTGTGCATGTTTCGTGGAACCAACCTTTGCATTTGTCACACTGCATATCAAAGGTAAAAGCGACGTGGCATCCGGGTCGCTTTCATGGATTCTTCACGACTATAGTGAGTTGATTAATAGATTCTAGCTAACATTTACAACTGTAAAACAAATAATAGTACACTCAGAACGGATAAAATGGGTAAAAACGGGTGGTGCAAAAGAATACGATACACTAAAACTAGCCTTGACCTAAAAACTGAAAAACCGAATAGTAAGCTGAGGCGAAAATATAGTCAACTTTTAGCGTGGATAAAATTCAAAAAGAGTGTTACTATCGGGACACATTCTTTGGATCGAAAATGGTACTTTTGTTGCGTAACAACACAGCAAAGATTTGAGAAATGCTAATTGAGTTATGCCTGGACTTCCCGTTCGTAAAGCGCTCTCTCTTTTGTGGAATTGGATAATCATTAAGCTGTATGAAAAATAGTCATTGTTGACCAATTGGTGTGTTTGGTGCTCGCCGTGAAACCTAATGGTTTTGGTCCAGTCCCTGTATTTGTATCTAAGCTCGATAATATTGCTGAATTTAATTACGACCCATCCTCAGATGTAATATTTGACACCTGGTTTCGACGTTACGAAGATGTGTTTGATGTTGAGTTCGATCACGAAGTTTCTTGGAAAGTACGTATTCTTTAACGGAAGCTCGGTGCAGAAGAACTTGACAAATGTTGCAACATTATATTGTCTCGAAATCTACGTGAAAGAACTTCTGCAGATATTATCACTTCACTTGGTCAGTTGTTTAGTGATCGGTCGTCGATTTTTAATTCTCGTTATCGATACATGAAATTAGTAATGAACAAAGAGGACAGTTTTCTCACACATGTTGGAATAGTTAATCAAGACTGAGAGCAGTTCAAATTAAAAACTCTTTCTGAAGACCAATTCAAATCATTAATTACTTACCTGTAGTTTACAACTCGAAATATTTACGGATATTCGTACATGACTGTAAAATCGTTTTCATCAGGACCTAACGTTAACACTTAATGAAGTTACTGAAGGTTACCAACGATTAACGAACCTCAAACACGACACCAACTTACTCCATTCCGGTGATCAAAATAGACTTGACGTTCAAGCAGTACAAAGTAAATGAAGTCCTAATTCCATGACCCCAGCATCCAAATCATTACACGAAAAGCCATCAAAAGAGAAGCCTAAAGTTTTCCCGTCAGGTGCTTGGCATTTCGCAAGGTTCTTTCCGTTTAAAAACCATTACTGTTAGAAATGTTACACTGTTGGACATCGAGACTTATTACGAGCAGTAGAAGTTACCGGAAGTCAAATTTCCGGAGAAGGTGCATATCAAATATAAAACCATTTGAATGTTTCCCTGTATTTACGGTAAATCAAGTGCACAAAAGGCCGGCCAGGAGGCGTATTGAAGTTCTGATAAATGGCTATTTGATAAGAATACAATTAAATACCGCTTCAAATATAAACATTCTTTCCAGAAAAAGGTGAACTAAAAAGGGAAAATACAGTCTGCACCCTACAAGTCAGTTTGCAGTGAGCGCGGCAGGTGATAAACTGAAACTTATCGGAGTCCTATCGTGCTCAGTAACACTCAAAGATTTGACTATAAGTGGAATAGGTTACATATCAGGTGATAACTTAAATTTATTAGTTATAAATATATTTGTTATCATATCCCGATGAGTAGAAAAATTATATTTCTAACGTTTCATGACTTAAAGTAAGCCACTTGTTCAGAGTAAATAAATAACTTAATTAAATTAACACAAGTTTAAATAGTACCAAATTTATTAGTTTTAGACTGGTGCAATAGTTTTGGACTTCAAGATACTCCATTACGAGACGTATTCAACAAAATTTTAAATAAAGAATAGCAGCGGTATATCACAAAAATCATAAATCAATTTATAGACTTTTTGCAGAAGGTTCGGAGAATTGCACTACAATGAAAGTAAATCTTCACCTGGAAAAATATGCAAATCCAGCGTTCTGACAAAAAAAATCATTACTGTATGTGGACGCAGAACTCCAACATCTAGAAAAACAAGGTGTTCTATCACCAGTTTCATTCTCAGTTTTGGCAGCCCTTATAATAGTCACCAAGACACAAAATAGTACATTGTGGGTCTGCGTAGACTTTTCGACGGGATTAAATGCTGCTCTAGAACAACACCATAACCTTTTACCAATTCCGGATGGTCTTTTTACCATCTTAATCGGTGGAAGCTACTTTGCAAAACTAGATCTAGCTGAAGCCTATCTCCATGAAGAGGTCAACTATTGATGCCGTGAGTTACTGACCATAAATACATCGAAATTTAGTTCACTATAATCAACTGTTTTTTGGAGTGAAGATGGTATCAGCGATATTCCAGCAACTAATTGCCATTACAAATATAGTCGTTTATTTAGACGATATATTCATGGTTGCAACATCCTAAGAATTATATGACCGACTAAAAATCTGTGAAGTACCCCAGGTTTATATTTGTTAGCTTTCGACAACGCTCTGACCCTGAAAATATCCAGACTACCTAGAAAATGTCTGCCCCATACGATCCGCCGATTCTACGTTCGTTATTACTCCTCATTTTTTCCCTTCCCTACATGAAAAGCGAACACTACTTAATCATGTACCTGGAAAGAATACCAAGTGGGAACGGACAGAACAGTGCCAAGTAGCTTTTGAAGAATTGAAAGCACTACTTGGATCTCATCTTTTACTAACTCATCACGATGCCACTAATAGTTGCAGCAGATGCATCTGTATATGATGTGGTAGTTTCACACAAATTTTCAATGGAAAAACAGTAATGCACTCATCCAGATCACTAACAAAGGCGGAAAAACGCTGGTGTTAGATCAAAAGGAAGCATTGGCAACTGTTTCTGCTGTACGGTGCATTTCGCAAACCGACTTCACAAGTGGGCGACAACACTGTTCGGTGGTTTATTTATTTAAACACATAAACATTGGTACAAGGAGGCACCAAGTAGATATGCACCACATAAATCATTCGATTTGTGTGAGGGCTGTGATACTCCCGGGTGCCCAGACCAAAGCAGGTGGTTTTCTTAGGGGGGCCACACCCCGAGCCTTTAACCTAAAGGTCTAACCCACAAGGCAGTGGAGCATCGTGAGGAGATGCAGTCTCATGGTAGCCGGTGACCAATGATTGGTTCTTACGCCATTTGTTCCCGCAAGATACTGGAGCCCATGTGCACCATTGATTTCGAATCCGGTTAAGGCGCCGGACATTCGCTTTTCGTCCTCTCAATTTTGTAAACACCCCCGCCACGAGAAGGCAGTGAGTAGGACTTCCCTGGCAGAGGCTGTATAAGCGTGGCCGTGTGAGAGCATTTCGAGAGGGTGGGCGGGCCCACCCCACTCTCGGCCAAACCAGGGCATTTGGGGGCGTTCGATGGTTTCGACACTCAGTATCGTCGGACAAATTTCGGTCACGCGGACGCCCTATCGCTCAATGAGTAATTACCCCAATACTTATGAAGATTCTGTTGTTGCTGTGATTTCTATTACAGATTACGCAAACGAGTCTCATGGATGCAATGAGAGCCCTTCCCAAAACGGCTTGCCAGGTAGCAGATACTACAAAGAGGGAAACGTTTCAACGGGAGATTCATTACCTTTAAAATAAACGTCCATCGTCCTTAGGAGAATTAAAACACCTACTCCAGCAATGGTAATCTCTGCGCTCAGTTGGAGAATCCCTTATGTTTGGAGAACGTGTAATGATATCACCAGATTTACAGGAGAGCATAGTATAGAAACAAGTTTCAAGAAACTATTTTTCTTCATCTTGCTGAACATTCTGAGCAGTTTTCAAAGGTGATCCTACCGATCATATGTACATAATATCTGGATTTTCGCGCCTTTTCCGTTCTGATTGACTTGCCCCTAATGTATACTTCTACCACAGCCTCTCCCACCCATGAATTTTAATAATTGCACCAACTAGTTATAATCTGCCTTCCACTGAGTTTCCCCTATTATCCTTGATGTCTTCTTGTCACAAATAGCACCTCTGCACTCGTTAATTGTAGCCACCACGACTACTGTTTCTGACATGTTGACTTGAAGTGGATACGTTTTGTAGTTGTAATACATATATTCTATGATTTTGCTGTTGAGCTACATTAAACATCCGTAGCCGTGCACTGAATCATACAATCTGCACCAGGAGCGCGTTTTCCTTGTAATTTAGCTCGAGCACCATCTTATGTTGACTGTTTGGTTGCACGACAGGTGTTTTTGTCGATTTCGCGTATTTTAAGAACCAAACATTGCTATATTTCACTTAGCTCATAATAGCGAGTTATCCTCCACAGTGCAAAATTTATGAGGCCTATCTCGAGGCTATCAGTAGTGTATTTCAGCTCTTTATATATAAATATATATATCAATATTTGGAAACCCCTAAGGAATTGTTCTAAATCATTTATTTATTTCAGGTGTTATGGTTGGTAGGGCCTTGTTGAAATTCCCACATCTTTTTACTCCAAATTATATCGAGGATGAAAACTCACTTCGCTATTTATATGAAGATTGGTTACTTTTATCTACACAATATACAGGAGGCACAAGTTTTGTAACTGTTCATCAACAAGCATATTGGATGATGGAACCATTTCTGGACAAAACAAATAGATTAATTTTGCATAGTATTGGAAGTTTCCAAGGTTTAGTCGATTGGCTTTTTAAATATTTCAAGACAGAAAACAGCTGATTTGTATATTTTCTTTGTACAGTAAAGCATTTTCCACCTTAATTGTCAACCTATTTTCTTACAATTATTCTCAGAGTAAATACAGCTGTTTCTAGATGACAAGTGAGTTTAGGTGAATGAGTGATTAAAGTTATTTTATTCAATGACCATGGTGGAATACTTTCTTCCCATATAGTTAGTGGAAGACCACATGCAACAAAATTCGTATGAATGAGATCATTTATATTACTAAACTATTTACAGGCCATTTGTTACATATATTTAATCGTTGCATTCTTAATTTCATATTATCAATTCTTTTGTACATAAATCAGACTAATGGCAACAGAGAAATCCTCTCAACAACACAGTCGGTATAGAGAAATATAAAATCGACTGACCCACTATCTCGTAGTTTAGACAATAATCTACAGAAGCTAACAAACTCGAGTCGGAAAATTAATTCACGGCCTGGGACAACTATTAATTCTTACCACATTCCAAGCGACAAGTATTCCTTTATCTGCATCCAATATCGTATGTGAAACGTGTAAACATTCCCCCACCTACTTCAGTCGCCTCATGTTAAAGGAATCACTATATACTTTGCCCCATTTGCTCAAAACACCAAAACAGCACTAGAATGGGACAACTATCTGCTCGTCTTCTTTATGCTGTTAACTATAAAATACCCCAACGCTGCAATGCGTACTACTTGGCAACAGAATACTGGACATTCTAACAACCGACTATACTGATAACTCGTTAGTTGATCACACTGAGCCTCAAATGATGTTAGTCAATATCACAATATAGTCAAAGCAGAGTCGTTGAATAAAAAACTGATGTAGATGCCAAACAAAAAATACATCGGAACGCTACTTGTTTATCGTACCTAACCAGCTGCTATTATATAACGTACAAATCTGATAACACTGACTGCTATCTATTTTCTACAAAATGTACCCTGACAACTGCTAATGGGTTCATACAACCATTCGAACGACATCCATCCCAAATGAAAATATTAGGAACTGCAAATGAATGTATTATTTGATATGTAGTGCGACTTTTGAAAGTCAAATAATAAGACCTAAACGGATTTTATCTCTGTAAAACTAAAGCTTCTATGGGTTTTTGTCTCGTTTGTAGGTTTAGACTACCTGGTTGGGGACCGCGAGATGATAGCAACCGATGGTTAGAGACCCTGAATGACATGGCTCAAAATCGTTTGCAATGGCGCAGGTGCATCCACTCTTTGTGTTCTCCCAAATTCTAATCTTCTGAATTCTCCATGTCCCTTTTTTCCTCTTTCCAAATTTATTTCACTGGATTATACTCTTTAAATAACATCTTCAAACCCTAATCTTCCCGATTACTGCTTATACTCTTGCTACCTCTACCACTACGGGATTTGAATCGACAACTGCATCTCTGTGCTAAGGTGGTGTGGCAACTCGAACTGATGTACGTACGTACGAAGTTCTACGTTGTTACTGACTGACTGTCTCGTTGAATTGACAAGTAGAGACCAACAAGTCCACCCGCTTCATAATGAAACGGATCCTAAAATCCTGCAACACTAATTATCTACTTTACGTACACCCAGTAATTATTGGATCTTCCCACCAAGATACAAAAAAGCGGCAAACAATCAACTTACAAGTTCCAGTGTGATCAATAGTTTCCACCGCTAAAGTTTCGGGATTAAGAAATCTTAACAGACTAATCGGTCATAAAGTAGCCAGTCTATACTCTCAGAATTCTATGTATGACTTCTGGAATCTTTCTAAATGATTGGTCACTATGAGTATACTTAGTCCCTAGATCTTTCTAAAACTCTTGTTGGATTTCAAGCGTGAATTAGCTCGTATCTTTAAACGTATAAAAGTTGTCACGAATTTTCCGAATTAAATCTCAGAATCAACAATAGCATATTGCTCCACTCAAAAGTTTTGCACAGCTAACGTGTTTCACCTGGATAGTATCGAAATCGCTATTCCGTGAGTCATAGGATGGTTTAATGTTAACTATAACTTGTCTTTCCAAGCTTAATAGCCTGGTGTACCACGTCGACTACCACTCAGACTTTTTTATTAGGACTTATCAGGTTGGAAAGTTCGCGAGTTCCATTAGACGAACTTAGTGAATCGAATACATTTATATCAAATACTTCCCAAACCAAAGCAGGCGGTTTTCTTAGGGGACCCCCCCCCGAGCCTTTGATCTGGAGGTCTAATTCTCAAGGCAGTGGAACAATGCTAGGAGATGCCGTCCCGCGGTAGCCGGTTTGGGCACCCGGGCAGCACCACAGCCCTCACACATATCAAATGAGACCTGCGTGGCGCATATGTACTTGGTGCCTCCTTGTACCAATATCTATGTGTTAAAATGAATAAATAAGCCAGTGACCAGTCAGTCAGTAACAACGTAGAAATTCTTACGTACGTACATCAGTTCGAGTTGCCATACCACATTGGCACAGAGATGCAGTGGTCGATTCAAATCCCGTAGTGGTAGAGGTAGTAAGAGTATAAGCAGTAATCGGAAACATTAGGGTTTGAAGATGTTATTCAAGGAGTATAATCCAGTGAAATAGATTTGGAAAGAGAAAAAAAGGACATGAAGAATCCAGATTAGAATTTGGGAGAGCACAAAGAGTGGATGCACCTGCGCCATTGCAAACGATTTTGAGCCATGGCATTCAAGGTCTCTAACCATCGGTTGCTATCGTCTCGCGGATGCCAACCAGGTAGTCTACACCTATCAACATGACTCAGTCCACTTGTCAGTGACTTCATGGATTTGTGCCGCGTTTTGGTCTGGCCGCCCCTAGCTTTCTTCCAACCTACTATACCACTGAACACTGCACGTCGAGGCAGTCGGTCGTTGGGCATACGTAACACGTGTCCCAGCCATCTCAACTGATGAGGTTTCACTACGTCATCAATTGATTTGCCATCCTTACCTAGTACCCGTTTTCTAACAACTGCATTACTTACTCGGTGGTTCCAGGATATACGAGCAATGTTTCAAAGACACCTATGATCGAATACTAGTAACCTGCGAATATTCTTTACTCTTACCGGCCATGTTTCACTGCCATAAAGTAGAACGGAGCGAACTGCTGCGCAGTAAGTTCGTCCTTTGGTTGGTAGACAGATATCTCGCCTACGCCATAAATGACGCAAGTTGGCAAAAGCTAATCGAGCCTTCTGTATCCATGCTGAGATTTCGTCACACACCAGACCACAAGGGTTGATGAGACTCCCAAGATAAGTGAAGCAGTCGACACGCTCAACTACTTCACTCCTTATCATTAGTTCACCTGTCAATGCAACCCAATCCTGAAGAAACCTTTTGCATCTCGAGGGCGATAATCACATCCCAAACATGCCGGTGACCAACAATAGGTTTGTTCTCTCACAATCCTGGAGCCCATGTGCACTATTGTTTGGAATCAGGGTTTTCTGACTCCCCTAGGTGGACTTTCTGTGTCCACCAACGCGGCCAAAGGGCCGGAAATTTGCTTTTTATCCTCTTAATTTAATAAGCAACCCCGCCGCGAGAAGGCAGTGAATAGGACATCCCTGGTAATGACAGTGTAAGAGCATTTTGAGAGGAAGAGCGGACTTTCCTCACCCTCGGTCGCACCAGAGCATCATCATTAGATAGTCTTTATGGGGTGTTTCTCGTCCCCTCTGCCTTTTCCAAGTTGGACAACTCCATATTGCCGCCATCCTATACACTGGAAGTGTGGCTTGAAGCCAATAAGTCTTTGACAATGAGGGAACCAATTAAGTACCCGTCAAGAGGAGCAGGCTTTTTTGTCTCTGTGCGATAATCACAATCTTCGGCAAAACACCTTAGGTAACAAGGCTCAGAATCAATTCCGATTGCCCAGATATATTTTTTGCTTACTTTTTCTAGATTTTAGGTCCTAAGATACTCCGTACATCTAATTATTTAATGCCATTCCAACTTCACTGTTTTTGATCTTGTTCACTTTTCACTCACTGTGACGTATTGTGGCAACTTGGGCAGACGCACATTTATTCAAGGTCTTAAGTTGAATATAACGGATTGATCTAATAGAAAACGACACATCTGTCTACTAAACAATTTTTAAAAACAAGTCTATATGCATATTACATGCGCTAGTAGAACTACAGTTTTAGTCTTGCAGATCGACAAGACTTCCATCTTTATTGACAGTTTTTAATATTCCAGAATTTAATAAAACATTCCATTCCAACTGAGGATCGTAAGACCTAAAAATGAACAGTTAAAAAGAGGAAAAATACTGGTAGAATTTCCTGGCAGTTGCAATCTCTTTCTTATTATACATGTATACGACGACTCCCGTCACCGCAGTAGACACAATCGTTGCGATTCCCATAGCTCTAAAAGCCCTACCAACTCTGAAATTCCGCAATTTGGCTGGATCCATTTTGCTAAAATGAAGAAATGTAGGCAATCTGTATATATTTGGTGTCATCTTGTACCAAATAAATAATAAATAAATAGTAAATTCCCCTGAGAATCTGAAGGATGAAACAATGGTCAAACAGGAAGTTTTATTCAATATATTTCTGAAGCAAGGTTACCACAATTTTAGACAAGACTTTTAAAAGAATGATAAAGATCACCTATATACTGGTATCCACAAGAGGACTTTATTTGACATTGGTGTTTCGCGTGACTATTCCCAACTTTTATGTATTCGAAATAAATTACAAATTTTAACTGTTATATATGGTAAACCATTGGGGCCATTAACCTACATTTCAACGGAGCTGTGAGAATAAAAGCTTAATTGTTTGCAGAGGTTTCGAACTTAAACTTTGTAGGACATAAGGGGGCAACGAATGGTCCACTAACTTTGACAACATTTATAGAGATGCGACAAAAGGTAAGTTTCACGTGGTTGAATCCGAAACCGGATCCCAGCAATACATCTGCGTACATAAATTGGTTTGAGTAATGTATATTCTGCTTTAAAGAGACGAATTACCTCAACTGATACGTAAAATAACCAATAAATCACTGTATTCGATGATTACTGGGTCTTTAACTAGCGGGGGAAAGGAAACACAAAGTTTAGGTGGAGCAAAGTGTCCTACTGACTATTCATTTTTCCTTCTAAACAACAAAGGTCGCACAAAGTAGTCAGATAAAAAATCACAGTCCTTAACTGTATTGCAAAAAAGAACTACGTAGTTCTCGAATTGTTCAAGTCATGAAGCAAAAGGATTTCGTTCAATATTGAACCGCCGATGACGTAAAAAAGTTAAACAGCTGACATAAAAGCTGTTATACACTTTTTATTTGGATATTAGCGGTTCCGTGTTTGTTTGGAGACAATCAAAGAAGTTCACGACAGTCCATCCGGAGAGAATTTTAACCGTTCAAATGGTTGTGGACGGAATAGAAGCCGTCGCTTAACGGGCTTTCGTGTCTAATAGCAGTGGATTATCAATACCTCCAGGCAGGAACGTAAGTATATTATTGATAATTTAGGAAAAATAAATTGGTACCAGTTCGGAATATTGTAAATATGCCAGTCGATTATACTCGTAAGACTGCAATGGAAGTAGTCTAGAGTTAGGACGTAATAAGAAAAGAAATCTGGCGAGAATACCAACGAATGTGAATGCAAGCAAACCAACCCCGTTTTTTTACTGAAGAGCTTTCCCGCTCAAACAATGGGGCTAGTTCAAGGTCTTATACAATATCTCAATAAAAACAACAGAAGTTTCAGAACAAATTGTAGGACAGAAAGTAGGATTACTTACCCACTGTGAATAGTCAGCCAGATTTTTTAATTTATTTGATTAAAAATTTAGTTGATATCAGAGCATAAGATTGTGAAATCGGGAAACAGGAATACTTTTCAAATATATGGAATAGTAATATACAGATACACTGAACTTGATAACCTTCGAACGTAGTTAAACGGCTTCCATAAATTGTCAAACAATAGGTAGTTTCACTTTTGGCTGGTGAAGGTATTTTCAGAGTTCCACGTCAGTTTACCGTAATTCGTACCGGACTGTATTATACAGCGTTTGTTAACCTATTTTAACATTCAGACAGATGAATCAACCAGATCCCTCCAGGTATTCTGTCATTCGCGCACGTGAACTTTTTCCACGCATGATTTTTTACGTACTGTCCCAGTTACACACTTTTCCCTTTATATAGGAGCTGACTCACTCTATACACAATGATTTTTACAAAATTTCAATATCCGTATTCTATCTTCACTCACCATTCGTCTATTCTTAATATGTATTTATGAATGATACTCGTACTCAGTCTTACTTGTATTCGACTTATCATGTCTACATTGTGCTAACTCGACTAGTCGATAGAATGCACACTAAATGAAATATAAGATATATATTTCTTTAGCGTTATTCAAATGTTTTCGCCACTTAATTGGATTCAAACTCATGGAAACCAAAAGCCGCTTAGTCGATCAGGCTTTTGTTGAGCCTACGAAAGGAGCTGTTCAGAACTTTGAAACAAGGAGTCCATTACCTTAACGAAGTTATTTGAAAGCGGGGAGCATCTGATGAGAAGATGGTTTTAGTCCAGTGAAGTGTCACATACGTGTAGACTATTCGTGATGTAACGTTTAGTAGCTGAGTGCTCTATTCCGTAATTAAATCTAAAATGAGTCCCATACATTATTACTCCTTATAACTTCGTAACATTGTCAGTCTAGAATACCTCTCTTATGACGACTCCCAAATATGTTAGGTCATAAGTAAGAAGTATTCTATTTCGAGCACTGATACAATAAAATAAGCATGTAGAATACCAATACAACATAGAGTATGTATCCGTTTACTGTAAGATTAATGTAAAATAATATTCCCCTTGTAGCGGTAAATAAATCCCCAAAATAAATAGCTCTGTAAGTCTTCGACATTGGATGCTGACCACATTAGTTTTAATGGACTAACCTAGCTGAAGGCGCTCGGTCATGCATCCGCGCCAGATCACGAGTGGGAACGCCGTGCTCAACAACCTTTGCAATCTTCATCCTATAAAAACGAGGAAAACAGTAACATCATGATATTATAATCGTACAACGAAGTACAGGGTTACAGGTTAACTGACGGATTTGATTGTCAAATGAAGTCTAAGCGGCGTTGAAATGTCGTTGGATCCTGACCAGGTCATCCGACACTCAGCTCACTGAATATCGAACAGTTTACCGATCTTTGTCAAAGTCAAGGATAGCCAACCTGCAACAATTTATTACATTCCATGGAATGGACTGTATGACGACAGTTGCACTCTGTTTTTTGAAGCTATTCTTACTAAAGCATTTCTGCAATATCGTTGTTTTTTCTCTATGCTGTCATCAAAGTAGCCGCAGTACCAGAATATGACAAAAGTGTAATCCATGGTACGTACTAATCTTGAGGTATGAGTTTGGTGTAATCTAGAGGGTCACACCATCCCAGTCCAACTCAAGTGGGTCCCCAGTTCTTGACATGAATCACCTAAAGGTTAAACAACCATGAAGTCCATCGAACACTTTTCACTTGTTGTGTGAGTAAAGATCGTTCATTTAAGCAGTTCTCTAAAATAACAACTTCACGTAAACTCATTATTTTTAAGTTAATTCTGTTTTTTACCTGGTCTGTAAGACTATTATGACAGGCCGATATAGCTAGTCGCTGTATTACATATGTCCAACGAATCCTTGTGTAAATTTATGATATTTTATGGTAACATGAAGCCAAACTTAATTCTTCTAAATAAGACATGTTTCCGTACAAACGACCCATCGACTACGACAAGCTGTGAATATGAATAATTTACTAATAAATAGAAAGATGCACTACTTTTCGGTTTGTGATTTGCAAAAATCAGAAATACTTTTAAGACCATTGTTCTCTTGAGAAATTTATCAAGAACCGGGTTTAAACGTAGAGGTGATATTTATGTAATACATGAAAAAGCTACATTTTAGCCTTGAGGTTAGTACTACGAAGTCTTGAAACTTTACACAACTAGGTTAAAGGTAACATTTGGATGAGTTTGCAGCAACTTTTGTATAACGAAAACATCTGGATAATTTCAAAAGACATTCTTTATGCGGACAAATGTATTTTCTTAGAGTCAAATAGACCGATAATAATGTGATTTATAACCTTCCGGAATATCACAGAAGAAACACAACCCGAAGTGTGCGAATTCATTTTGAAATATCTGCAGATAAGAATCGCTGAGATCAGTTCTTGAGAAATTATTTGATTCTCGTAATTTACAATACTGTTGAAATAGCCGACCATTCAACATTACTCGATAGTCGGCATGAATTTTAGGTGTTTTTCTATTCCTTGATAGGATTCCATTAATGAATACACAATATCTCCTCTAGCTCTTTAAGAGTCACTTCCGGTTTCAAGCCCGGGTAAAGGAGGATTGGGCATGGGGTTAACGAACCCATCCCGTAGAAAACTAACTCGATGAGAAAACGCTAACCAGAAAAAATAATTCGAACCATTTGAACTATGCCTTGGAAGTTAAAAGGTATTCATTTAGAAGAACTATGACGCCTCATGGTGAAAGCCCAGTTCCTTCGGAATCCATGAGGCCAATGTCCCTTCTAACAACCAGAGCAACAATTTTTATAGGTGCATGGAACGTCCAGACAATGTGAGGGACCCGGAAGACCAGTCAGATAGCAATGAAAATGAAGAGATACAACTTGGCAGTACTGAGAATCAGCGAAACCCACTGGACTCAAGCTGGACAACAAAGGCTAAATACGGAAGAGGTGCTGCTGTACTCCGGTCACGAAGAGGGAAATGCTCCACGCACTCAGGGAGTTGCTCTAATGCTGTCCAAAGTAGCACGAAATGCACTTGTAGGATGGGAATCTCACGGATCCAGAATCACCAAAGCATCATTCAAAACAAAGAAGGAGGGGATCACAATGAATATTATCCAGTGTTATGCACCCACCAATGATAGCAATGACGACATTAAAGATCAATTCTACGATAGGTTGCAACCAATCATGGAGAAGTGCCCATGAAAGGACCTCACCATTCTGATGGGAGACCTAAACGCCAAAGTTGGAATGGACAACACCGGATATGAAGATATCATGGGATGACATGGACTGACTGGGTGAGAGAAACAAAAATGGGGAAAGATTTGCAAATCTACGTGCATTCAACAAATTGGTCATAGGATGCATAATATTTCCACACAAACGTATACACAAAGCTACATGGATCTCAACGGACCACACCACAGAGAACCAGGTAGATCATATTTGCATCAAGAAAAAAGTCCGAAGGACAATGGAAGATGTGAGAACCAGGAGAGGTGCTGACATAGCTTCAGATTACCACCTAGTTGTGGCCAATTTAAAACTGAAGCTAAAGAAGAACTGGACAATTGGACAAACAGCACTACAAAGGTTCAATACAGTCTTCCTTCGAGATACAAATAAAATTAACGAATTCAAGATAGCTCTCAACAACAGGTTCCAAGCCTTACAACATCTACTGAAGGAAGAAGAAACTACTATGGAGGACAAATGGGAAGGTATCAAGGAAGCATTAACTTCAATATGTCAAGAGGTTCTGGGCCTCAAGAAGCATCATCATAAGGAGTGGATCTCTATAGAAACACTGGACAGGATCAAAGAAAGGAAGAACAAGAAGACACCAAAGTCCATATAGGTTTGTTGTCCAGATCGTTGATGGACTATATATATCGGTAGTGAAAAAAGATGACACATAATATAACCAAGCCACACAAGTTTTGCAGTACGGGTAGGACCACAAAGGTAGTTAACCAGGAAGGCCAGTTAAATACAAAGAAAGCAAGTCAGTCAGTGGCATTCAAGAACAAAGGAAAGGATGAGTATAACAATTTGAGGAACTATTGAACAAGCCGGCTTCATTAAATCCACTACACACTGAAGGAGCACTCACAGACCTCCTTATGAATGTCACTCAACAATCGATCTAAGAAATCAGGGAGGCCATCAGACGAATCAAGTGTGATAAAAGGTAGCAGGGTCTGACCATATACCACCTGAAGCACTGAGATAAGACAGGAGTAACTGAAAGCATGCCTCAAGTTTGATTGAGGATGATTTGGGAGGAGGAGTAACAAGTGCCGATAGACTGCAAAGAAGAATACGCAATCAATATACCAAAGAAAGGAGATCTGCGTAAATGTGAGAACTACATAGACATCACATGAATGTCAGTATCAGGAGAATTTTTTCAACAGAGTGTTGCTGAATCGGATGAAAGACTCAATGGACACCCAAGTTTGAGGCCAACAAGTTGGATTCCATAAGGGTCGGTTGTACACGGATCAAATCAACACACTGCGGATCATCGATGAACAATCATTTGAATGGAAGCCGTCACTAATCATCAACTTCCCTGATTATGAGAAAGCACTTAACAGTGTGGATAGGAGAACACTATGGAAACTTCTTTGACGCAGTGGTGTACGTGAAAACATCGTCACATCATACGGAGCACATAGGACTGGCTACAGTGAAGTGTCAAACGTGGAGACAGCCAGCATAGCAGAAGCCTTTGCATTAGTAGACCCCAACATACACATGGAAAAGAGCGAGATCCTCAAATACAACACGAAGGACATCATCCCAATCACGTATGATAGAGAAACTCTGGAAGATGTGGTCTGCTTCACGCACCTAAGTAACAGCATCATCGATGAACAAGGCGGATCTGATGCAGACATAAATGCAATGACTGGAAAAGTAAGAAGAGCATTTACACAGTTGAGAACATATGGAAGTCGAAACAACTGTCAACCAATATCAAAGTCAAAATGTTCAACAGGAACTTCAAGACAGTCCTACTCTACGGAAGTGAAACTTAAGGAACTGCCGCAACCATCACCAAAACTGTACTGGTACTTATAAACGTTTGGCTACATAGGACACTCAGTTCCTGTTGACCAAATACCATCAGTAACAGCCTACTGTTTGAGAGAACAAACCAGCTTCGATCCAAGAAGGAAATAAGAAATAAACGCTCGAAGTCGACTGTACATGCATTACGGAAATCATCAGATCTAATCACGAGGCAAGCGGTGATTTGGAATCTTAATTAGAAAATAAGAGAGGATGACCAGAGAACAAATCGCTTTAGGAATTGGACGCAGACATGAAAAGGATGAATAGCAACTGAAAACAAGTGGAAGGGATTGCCTAGGATAGAGTTCGGTGATGAATGTGCAGTGGCATTGGGCCCTAACGACACAATCCTCAAAGCTGAACACAAGACAACTGGGAAAATATGTATTCAATATCTAACGCGGAGAAAAACCCAAGGATGGAGAAAGCGGGAAGAATGAATTGAATTGATTCGAATTCACCGGATGGCATGGCCCAGCCTTGCGGGCGTGGTCACTCTTGAGTGTTGTCGGATTTTTTTATTCATGTTGAATGTATTGTCCTATATCTAGCCTAAGTTTGTTCACCATCATATATTGGTGATTATTATGATGCAATGAGTTGGTGTAGACAATGATGTGACTCTTAAGTAAGATCTTATAAATCAGGCAGTTATATCATGACAAATCTACAATTTTAGGATTAGGTCTAGAATTAGAACAGTACTAATATTGAAGTAGATCATACTTCCACAAATGCTTGTTAGCGGCCTATG